AGGATTGCAGCGAATTGAGGGCAGTGCAAGTCGAAGTTGAGGACGTCGTCCTAACCTCATTACATACGTATGGCAAAAAGTACTCATGTACAAGATTATCCAAATTACATCTGATTCTCAAGAAAGCGGTAAGTAGTTAGCGTATTACAGAAAAAACGGAGGTTAAGTCATGTCCAGATGAGATGAGACTACCTAATCCTAAATCGCTAAATCGAGGGTATCGCTCATGGGATCAGGGTACGGGTATAAGTAATCCTGATACTTGTACAGCTTCCAGGAGTGTAGAATGCCCTTGACGAAGACCCGTGAAACCGCTAAGATTCGGTAGACGTCCTTCGTCTGGAGGCGGAGAACCCAGGGGTTGAGGATGCTGGTAGTCGATGATGTGTTTGGTAGCTCACGTCCGTTGGTTCCAGACCATGTCCGTAATATCCCGGTGAAGTATTGATAAGGGTTGACGACGAATCAGGTTAGTGTCGAGGTCTCCAGGAACCCCTGCGAAGAGTGTGGATGTTGCTCCCAGCGTATCCGACGGCTTTTCCATGCTTGTCCCACTGTTGGTATCGCATCTCAACCCGTTCGGTCAGCGTCACAGGGATCTGGGAGTCCGAATCTCTAGGAGACTAGGCTTGAGAGCGAGGGTGCTCTCTAAAAGATTTCCGGAATACGGAGAGAACCCTTGAGCTAGCCTTCTTTGGCTGAAGGCAACAGTTTAGGCAACCGATGGCAATGATATGGAAGAAGGCTTACCGCACTTTCCGTCTGGCATAGATGACCTCCGGCTTGACCACGTTCATCTGATGGAGGATGTACCACATGGCCACGATGGTAATAAGTATGGTGATGGCTAGAACGACATCCTGCTGATCTGTCGAGGAGTCAGTGAATGCGTTCAAAAGATGGGGAAGGACAGACCAATACTTGGTGTGTGACGAGGCCGAGTAGTCTGTAAATGGTGAATACATCGACTCCGCCGAAGGACTTGGGGGCGCGTGAGACCTTCTGAGTCGTCGTCTGCATCCTTTTTGTCAGAAGAGAGAGATAGCTCCGATCTCAAGTGACTGTAATTGTCCTTCAAAACTGGTGTGGGATGAACCTCAGCATCGTCCGTCAGTGTCGGATACAAAACATGACTTTCCGCCACTGTGAGTCGCTCACTCCTGTTTCCGAACGTGTACACCCATTATCTTTATCAGTGGGTAGAATCTTCACGCACTTTCGCACCACTCCTGTACGTCTCCTGGAAAGCGGGTTCAATTTTGCACTGGTAAAGATTTTGAACGTTCAGGGTTAATCTGAAAAGAAGTGAGCCTCAGGAATAAACCCATTGAGATGAAGAGGTTGTCACCATAAAAGTGCCGAGGTAATAGAAGAGATTGAAGGCCCCGAGTGAAGAGAGCGCTAGCCGCAAGGCACGTGAGAGGCGTGACGCCGATCACAATATCTTCTTCATATCCTCTGCCTTTCATCTTCGGAAGATATTTTTATTATATTCACAACTGATGCCGTGATCAGATGCTGATGTTATTGATGAAGAAATTTTAAATATCTTCATCATATCCTCGCTGATGTTGTCCCTGAACAATTTATCAGTTTATCTCTGATTTATTCTCAATATCTTCTGTGAATAAATAGGCCAATGCCCCCAGTGTGTGACGTTGGCACGCGTAGGATCACGCACACGCTCACGCCCAAATATGAGGAGGCATGTGCGTATGATCAAGCCCAAATTTGTTGAGTCCACTCAATCTTGTAGTGTACTCCTTTTCATACAAAACCTTGTAGGGTCCGCATTTTGGGACTACAAATAAATTGTAGTGTCCACATGAAAGGTGAGGGATTCAACAGAATTTAAAATGAGAATAATAGGTACACACCTTCAGGCTTTGACTTGGCTGATGTGCATCATGTTTGGCCTTCTTTCCTAACTGCTGCCCACCCGCATAAGGATGCATGTATTTTGTGTGTTTGCTCTTTACTGGTGACCATCCCGGCTTTCGTTTCTGGCCATGAGTGTTGATTAGGTGCGACGGTTTCAACATGTGATTCAAAGATATCATGAGTTTGTTGGGATAAGGGAGGGTTTGCTTGGAGTTTCAGGATGAGGCTTGATAGCTTGTTGACGAGCTTCTCCAGCCTGTAGTAACTTGCCACCGTTCAAGTGTTTGCCATTTTACGCAATGAATCAAAAGTGCAGAAATCACTGGCATTGGGAGTGCATGCATTGAACAGCTGCAATGTGCAAAGCAAATGGCAGGGAATGATAGCCTATAGGCAGTCACAATTGTATGCATCGGCCTTCGATTGAATATATATCTCTGCTTCAGAATCCGGATTAGGACTGATGTCTGAATTGTCAATTGTTGATCATGATGCACGTTTTTGATCATTTCGAGGTCAAGAAGCCTCACAAATCACTATACACTAAGTAGTACACATCATCTATTCCATACAGCTTCACTACAACCACCTATATTCACAGAAGTGATATCTGCAAGACCTAATCACACCTAAGGACAGCCTAATGCTGCCCGTGCATCTGATTAGTAGTACTAGATCAAATGGTACTAGACTACTAAGTTGCAGAGTCCAGTCTCTCGAGCGGATTCCATGCGTTGGGTAGACAAAGAGTTTGAGGAAGCCACTGAGGCTGCATTTAATATCATCGGGAACATTTGGTCGGGGTGGTGCGTACCTTCGCATGCCGCAGGTAAGTTTGAACCAAGTTCGAACACTTACATGACGCCCATGTCACATCGTGTGACATGGGCGTCTTTCGTCAAACCACGACCACGACCACACATCAACACGTCACCACGTCACCACCACCCTCAACAACGCCCACCACCATCGATGATGCCCACCACCATCGACGACGCCCACCCACCATCGACGACGTCCACATCACCACCATCGCCTCTTCGCCCACAACCACCACAGCAACAACGATGTGGCCACGCAACATGGCAACAACGACGATGGACGGCAACGACGATGATGGGGAATCAGGTACTTGGTGAGCAAACCCATCTCGCCCCCCTTTCATTTTCTGACCGTGATGCCAGGTGCCACGTCGCCAACAGCGACGTGGCAACCAAACGATGAACGACAACATTGTCGCCGTTCATCGTTTTTGTATATACTTCACCACCACGTCGCCGCCATCCCACGTCAAGCGTTCACCACCGCAAACCCTGGCCGCCCAAAACCGACAACGACTGCCCAACAAACCACACACAACAGCCGGCAAGCGGCGACCAGGCCTCAACAAGCAACCACCGCCGAAGAACGACCACAACCCAGCACCACCGGCGAAGGATGACCAGCGCCCACAAAAATCAATCAACGAACGAACCCACGAAGACGGACGACGACGATGGCCAACAGACGAAGGACGACAACGATTGCGAAAGGACGACAACGACGACAATGTTACTGTCGTTGTCGTCCTCATTGTACACTGGAGACGAAGGTAGACGAGGCGCCCCTCTCACCACTCACATCACTAACACCAGGCCACCACCGTCGACAGCCCACCACCAGTGGGTGGTCGTCTAGCACCTCCGACGTCACCCCTCCCCAAAGGGAAGGGCATGCCGCCAGTCGGTAGCCACGTCACCACGCGAAACGACGCAAAAACGATGACGACGGCCTACAAACGACGACCGGACGACGACCACGAGACGCCGAGCACCCACCACCATGAACGACGACGGCCAGCGCCCAACAAACGATTGCGACCGCCCAGCAATGACGACAACCAAACAACAACCATAACGACGTGTGAACGACGACCAGCGCCCACAAAAAACGACGACCAGCGCCAACGAAATGACCACCAGCGCCCAGAAAGGCCCCAGAGCCACGAACGACCCAATGAGCGAGCCCGGCTACGTCTCAGTCAGCGACGTGGCAACCACGGGGGGCGGCGACGATAACGCCGTTGCCGTCGTTGTTTGATTTTTCATCCCTCCATCACACCCTTGCCCCGTTCCCTCGTCCATCCCCCTTCTCCACTCCCTCCCCCTTTTCCACTCCATCCCCCTTCTCCACTCCCTCCCCCTTTTCCACTCCCTCCCCCTTTTCCACTCCCTCCCCCTTCTCCACTCCCTCCCCCTTCTCCACCCCTCCCCCTCCCCCACTCCCTTCCCCCTGGCTCACTCCTCTTCCCTTACTCCCTTCCCCCCTTCCTTACTTTCCCCCTCCCTCATTGCCTACCAACCCCCATCCCCCCTCCCTCATTGCCAACCACCCACCTCCTTTCCCCCTCTTCCCCCCTTTGCCTACCACCCCTCTTTCATTGCTTACCAGCCCTCTTCCTCACTGCCTACCACCTCCCTCAGTCCCTCTTCCCTTGATTTGAGTTTCAATGTAGTAATGTAAATTTATGTAGTTATATTGAATAAAATGCACTTTTCTCTTCTGGATTCTACAGTAATTTATTCTGGTTCAAGATATAATTGAAAGATATATCCTGGTTCAAGATCTGGTTGAAAGATATATCCCAGATATATCCTGGTAATATATCATGGTTGAGAATGTAGTTGGAAAATGCAAAATATTGGTGAAAAATAATGTATCTTGATTCAGGATATAGTTGATAAATATATCTACTTTTGTCAGGTTAAGAAATGTTTGGCTACCCAAGAAATGTTTGTGAGATGAGGTTTAGAAATGTTTGTTGGGATAGGAAATCTTTATAAAAGGCAAAATACTTTTATCAAGTTAAGAAATGTTTGGCTACCCAAGAAATGTTTGTGAGATATTTCTTTACCAAGTTGAGGAATGTTGGGCTACCCAAGATATCTTGGGAAACATTTCTGATCAAGTCAGAAAGGTTTGGCTGGCTAAAGAAAGTTTCATAAAGATGTTTATCTGGTTCAGGATATTTTCTCCAAGTTAAGAGATGTTTCAGTTCCAAAGAAATATCTGTGAGATATCTCTCATCAAGTTCAAATATGTTTGCCTGGCTAAGAAATGTTTGAGTTCCAAAGAAATATTTGTCAAATATGTTTGCCTGGCTAAGAAAATCTTTATGATATCTTTCAGATATTTTCTACATGTTTGAGTTCTAAAGAAATATTTGTCAGATATCTCTCATCAAGTGCAGATATGTTTGCCAGGCTAGGAAATCTTTATGCTATCTTTGGGATATTTTTAACAAGTTAAGAAATGTTTGAGTTGCAAAGAAATATTTGTGAGATATCTCTCACTCACTCCACATGTTACAATAAGACACCTGCCTACATCTACTAAGAGACTAAGGTAAACTAAAAAGGATACCTTGACAGATCAGTGAATGAAGGTAGCAAATGCATAGCTAAGGGAGGATGGCCTACAGCAGACTGGGTTGGTGTGACGAAAGGTAGAGTGGTGGTGCTAAGAAAAATTATGTAAAGTCTCCGTATTCTGGTGTTCAAACATTTTGACTGTCAAGAACAAGGTGACAGCATCAGTAAGATCCCTGGGTTGACCAGGCCATTGTAAGGGAGGTGGAAGTGGAGTGTGTGAGTTTGAGGGAGGGTACAGGGTTGGATACAGATGGATGCGAGTTGAGTAAGTTGGATGACAACGTGATGTTGAATGGATTTGGGTGAAGAGTTTGTTGGGTGCAAGTGTGTGTGCAATGAACACAATTTCATTCTCCAACTGAGTCTGGGAGGTGAATCTGGGAAGACTTTTTGCGGCTGAGGCGAAAGCAAGCACAAGCTGCGCTGGAGGTGGGTGGGGGAAGACGGCGGCAGTAAGAGAAAATGAAGAGAAGTCGGTTCGGGGCATGATTACTAGAGATGCAAAGGGGAGCACAAGGTTGAAAGGGAGGAAGATTGGAGGTGAGAGGAGATGCGGTCATGGGCCAAGAAAGGTGTGGTGGAGATGGGTAAAAAAGTTGTGTTTGAGTGCCAAAACTTCACCCTAGATTCAGGGTGGTACTGAGCAATTGACTATCAACAAGAGATGAGTGCCTGAGCTTGGAGTCTCTGCCAGAACTGCAACATTGAACCCCTACCACAGGCCGGTTGTTGTTGTTGTTGTTTGCCTGGCTAAGAAATCTTCATAATATCTTTCGGATTTGGTCTACAAGTTAAGACATGTGGGGGGTTTGACTGGGGGGGATGGTAAGATGCACTTGGAGATCTGGGAGCTGAAGTAGAGGCAGAGGTGGAGGAGAGGGTGGTCAAAAAGTGGAATCATATGACAAGACCCAATGGGCAAGGAAGTAGGTAATTGTGTGCATTGAGATATTGAGCAGAGATTGGGACAAGAGAGAAAGATGGTGAGAGAGTGAGTGAACAGGGGTTTGGAGGAGAAACTTAGATGAGTTTTGAGTGGTGAACATGGCAGATAGAAGCAGGGTGTCAGTGAAAACAGACTTAGAGTGGTGAACATGACAGAGAGAAGCGGGGTGTTGGTGAAGACAACCTTAGAGTGGTGAACATGGCAGATAGAAGCAGGGTAATGGTGAGAACAAACTTAGATGAGTTTCGAGGGGGAAAAAAAAGCAATGTACAAAATGATGAGAAAACTGCACCAGAAAAACCAAGTTTTTTTCTTGAAACTGGGACCCCAGATACCCCATGACACTGGTCGGATATGTTTGAGCCATGTGACAAGGCTAAAAGATTTTTCAGCAGTGTGACATGCTTAGAATATATCCAAGTGATGTCACACCACTGAAACATTTCTAGCCACTCTGGCAAACCTCAAACATTTCTGGCCAGTTTGACTTGGCTCAAACATTTCTTACCAGTCTGACACACTTCAAACATTTCTTACCAGTCTGAAACCCTTCAAATATTTCTGACCACTTTCACTTGACTAGGATATTTTTGAACACAATTTATCTACCCAAACATTTCTGGTCACAATATTACAGGTCAAACATTTTCTACCTAATCCAATATTATATTTTCTCCCAAAGGCAAAAAAATAAATGGCCGCACAACCTATTAGCCTGGATACATTCTTACATTTTACAAGGCTAATAGCTTGTTCAAGGTGGGTGACTGAAGTGGCTACCGTCAGAGGAAGTTATCCAAGAAAGGCTATCTTCGTTTATTGGACGGAGTAACAACAAGAACATGGCGATGGCGATCTGTGCGGTATGCGCGCGGGAGACCATCAAGTCCGAAACCATTGAGCTAGCCGTCAAAGACATACCAAAACCGCGAAGACTCCGACCAGGAACATCACATCCAGCTCACGTCCTAACAAATGGCATGCTGCTCGAAAACCATGCCATCGAATCTGGACGATGCCGTTTGTGCTTGGAATGCGAAAGCCACCTTAGCAAAGACGAGACACCACCATTATCTCTCGCAAACAACATGTGGATTGGAGATATACCCTGGGAGTTGAAAACCTTAACGCTTCCAGAAAGGTTGCTTATTGCGAAGTACTACCCCGTGGCATACATTATCAAGTTGTACCCGAAAAAGGGGAATGCCCATGCATGGCCTACCGAGATGCAGAAGGGAATCAGAGGCAATGTTTCCACGTACAGGCTTGACCATGGTCAAATTGCTGGTCTAGTTGGAGGTCCCGAATTACCACCTCCTGCGGCGCTTCTATCATCCATGATCGGAGTGACGTTTGTGGGTCCAAACAACAAGATCTCCAAACAGCTGCCCGATATGCTCAGAGTACGAAGGGGCAGAGTACGGAAAGCTATTGAATGGCTTATAGCACACAACCCTCTCTTTCGGACATCTGTGATATCCGAAGAAAATCTGAATCAGCTGCCGTTGAATGGCATACCTGATGAAATTGCATTCAATGCACGAATATCGGATGATGTTGGTGCGCTTATGAGAGAGCAAGCTGGATATGTGCCAGTGGAAGATGAAGACGGTACTGTTGACGAGGGTGAGCTGCCTGAAGACGGCATTGTTGATCAGGGTATGTTGATATGTCGGAGCTGTCAGTATGTGAGACTCATCAGGTAATTAGTTGTGGATCAAGGGGTCCCCTCATCTATTTTAACGCTCGACGATGTTAATGATGTCGATGAGGAGCGAATTGAAGGTGCGCAGTTTATAATGTCTTATAAATGCTAAAATCATGAAACTCATCCACCTAACGGACAGACGTGGAACCTGCAGTCATACCTCTGCAATCGACCGGTGTCATCGATGTCAGTGGATCAAACATTACGGATAACGATCTACTCGCCCACGCTCTGTCAAACGCCTCAGATTCGTCGACAACACCCAATTTTTTCATCAGAAGAAGTAGCGCGTTTATCAATGAATACGCAAGACTCGACGAATCTGGATTGCGCACGGACGGTGGTCCCAGCAACCCCAATCATCTACTTGGATCTTTTCCAGTATTGTTTCCGTACGGAAAAGGAGGTTTTGAAGTTGCTCGAGGGAGGGACGTTTCTTATGAAGCACATTCGAGATGGAGCATGCAATATTGGGACAAACGCTTTCGTACCGACCTGAATTTCGTCTTTCAGATATTTGGCGTCATGCAAAAGCGCAGTATTTGTCGTTCATCCGTGTTGCAGATGAAGAGTTCTGTATATCATCGCCACGAAACAGCAATCCGTTCGCTAAAGCCTAACGACTTGGTTAAAGCCAGTCAGGAAGAAACCAGACGCGCACCTTTCAGCAACCCTGCAGTTCAAGCTCTTCGAACACAGCTGACCGCTGTTCGTGCAAAGGTACAAGGCACAGATGAATCGCGTCGTACTATACGTTCCAAAATATGGGGGATGACTGTCATGTTCAACCCACCAACGCTATGGGTCACCATAAACCCTAGCGATACTCAGGATCCGATAGCCCAGGTGATGGCTGGTGTTGACATTGACCTCGACAATTTCAACGCTGCAATAGGACCCGATAACACGGCGCGGTGTGCTACTATAGCAAAAGATCCTTATGCGGCCTCTAGGTTTTTTCATTTCATGGTCAAAATCATACTAGAAGAGCTATTTGGGATTTCTGGATCGAAAAGAGGCAGAGAAGTCAGCAGGAAAGTCGGCATTCTGGGAGAAGTAAAGGGATACATTGGTACTGTTGAGGCACAGGGGAGGGGCACGTTGCATCTGCACATAATCCTATGGCTACATGGAGCGCCCACCTCACAAACGATGAAAAGCCTTCTGTCGTCGCCAGCTTTCCGCGACAAGGTATGCGAATTCATCAGGGCCACTATCCATGCTGACATAGAGGAGAAGAATCATGAGGAGGTGAAAGCAATACCTAGAACACCCGACATCGCATATTCCCGACCGATCGACCCTGAAGATCCCGATTTTCATACCAAATACAAGGAGAGAGAGATTGCATTAGCGCGAGCAGTTCAACTTCACGATTGCCAACCATATTCTTGCCAGCGTATGGTGGGAAACAGGCTCATGTGCAAGAGACGCGCCCCGTTTGCGATGTCCAGTCGGGAATGGATTGAACCTTCAGGAGCTTGGGGGCCAAAACGGTACTGTGGATATTTGAACAACTGGAACCCAGTGATGTTGCAGGCCATACGATCAAACCACGATGTCAAATTGATTACGAACGCGCCCGAAACCAAGGACATAACATGGTATATCACAACGTATGCGACAAAAAAGCAGGCACGTTCAAGCAATGCATCCGCTTTATTAGCAACTAGGCTTGTCTTGCACAATAAACAGGAACGCCTAAGGCAAAACAATACAGACAGGAACAAGAGGCTGCTTCAACGGTGCGCAAACGCTTTGAGCCGTGAACAGGAGTTTAGTGCTCCTGAAGTTGTGAGTTACATAATGGGGTGGGGAGACCGCTACATCTCCCATAATTTTGCAACGATATATTGGGACAGTGTGGTCATAAGTCTGATGAAGGCTTACCCAGAACTCAGAAAGAAGAGGTTCGCCCCCTCATGGCGTTACTTTGTCTATCTAACAGCTCTATCTAGACACGATACCCGTCAAGACGATTCTGATCCATCAGAGGTGAGGCTCAATACCAATAAGACTTTCGTAATGCTGATACACACTGTTCGAAACAGAGGGAGCACAACTTAGAAGTTACTGAGTCGTCGACAAACTCTGTTGGCATTGAAGTGAGTGGAAAAAGACCACAAAACATAAATTACGTTGACCAAAGAACTAGGTCGCAAGTCCTGCTGAAGCAAGCATACACGGCCCATCAACCACAACAGAAGGAAGTTCCAACGTGAGTGTATTCAGTTACTCACCGTATCCATGCTCATTTGTTCAACCAAACGTCGCAGGGCAGAGAAACAAACGATGATGAAGCCAATAACGACGAGTTAGTTCGTATAGAGAACGTTGATGGAATCCTCACCAAGAAGGACCAAGTAAGGGACTACATGTACAGAGGAGACGGTCTAGAAGGCTATTCCTTTCTGGACCTCTTTCTCAATACATACGACGGTCTGCCTGTAAACGAAGGAAACGACAACAACGAGGAAGAGCCTACTAGAATGAGAAGGGGTCCTAGACCACATCAAAGATTTCCGTACAGAGAAGGCTCCGGCAAAGGGCGCGGATGCAGAATACTGCGTGGTGGAGGTCACGAGACTGTGCCACAATTTATAGGGCAATGGTTTCCTCGGAACGATCGACCAGACGAAGAAGACTTTTACTACGCCAGCATGCTTGCACTATTATCACCGTGGCACAGCATAAGTGACATCAAATCACAGTCGTCTTCATGGAAAGAAGCATTCGACGTCTTCAAACTATCGGCCTCCTCGAAGCAAAAAGATATGATGTTGAACATTCAATACTACCACGAGTGTTCGGACGGCGCGACGGCAAGGTCTCGTGATCCCAGACAGGCACATGGTGGCCTGTTGACGATGCGACAAATAACGTCTCAAGATGCACAAGAAAGGGTAGACGTGGAGGCGTATAGGACATTTACAGAGTGGGACGTCGAACATGCAAGGTCCGCGAGAGAATCAGAACAGTTATATCTGTACGGAGATGCTGCTATGAGAGCAGCCATGGACTCCGGCCTTTTCAGCGATGATCCGATAGAGAGCGCATTCAAACCTCCCGTAAACAGAGCTAACGAGGCCGACATGTCCATCTTCGCATCATGGTCTAAAGAGCTTGAAAAGGCAGCTGAAGAGACACCTTTGATAGCCGCAATACCAGAAGTTTGGCAGCCACCTCCAACTCTGCGAATAGTAGACGCTGAGCCGGCAGTAATACGTCAGCCAGCGGACAGACCCAGGCATCGTTCGACACGTCCAGAGCTCGCAATATTGAATACAGAACAAAGGCGCGCCCACGACATTGTGGAAAACAACCTTATAGCATATCTGAATGGTCAGCAACCAGAGCAGCTGCTCATGCTGGTACTCGGACAGGGAGGCACCGGAAAATCATTGCTCATAAGTGCCATATCAGCCACTTTTGACGAACACGGAGCAACTGAGCTACTGGCTAGGACGGCAACATCAGGGGTAGCCGCGAGTCTGATAGGGGGCAAGACTGTGCATACATGGGCGGCGATACGTGTACCAACACCTAAATCGGAAGGATGGCTGGATAAAGCGACGAAGGAAACAATAAAGCGAAGAAATACCAACATAGTGCCAACACGAACACTCATAATGGATGAATGTTCCATGATGACGAAAGGGCTGTTTACGTGCCTGTCAGAGGTTGTCAGTTACGTGAAGAGCGTGAACGGAATGGGCCATCCCACACAAGCATTTGGAGGCATGAATGTTCTTTTGTTCGGTGACTTTCATCAATTTCCTCCAGTAGGAAATACACCTGGGGCATTGTACAACCACCTCGACGAAACAGTACGAGGAACAATGGGAAGAGCACTCTTTCTCCAGTTCACCACCGTCGTAATTCTTAAAGAACAAAATAGGGTGAGAGATCCAGTGTGGAGAGGAATATTGGATAGACTGCGAGTCGGAGAGTGTGAAGAGAAAGATATGCAGGAAATAAGGAAGTTGATTGTCACGAGAAAAGATAGCGTCCTGCCAGACATGTCAAAGGAGCCATGGAAGGACGCCGTGCTGATCACTCCACGCCATGCCGTACGCAAAAGGTGGAACAAGGCTGCACTCTACAAACACGCCGCCCAGTCCGGCAACAGATTATACATTTCTCCCGCGGAAGACACAATAGGAAGGCAACGCGGGAAATTGTCAATGAAAGAGAGGGTGATGGTCGCAGGCATGAGAATCGAACAGACAGCACACCTTGCAGATAGGGTGACATTGTCTGTAGGAATGAAGGCCATGGTGATCCTTAACTTGGCCACAGACAAAGAGCTAGCCAATGGGACGAGAGGAACTATAGACGATATAATTCTCGACTCAAGAGAAGTACTCGGCGATCCTGAGGAAGATGGTTCATATCATTTGAAATACCCCCCAGCTCTAGTTTTATTCAAGCCGGACGCAGAAGTAAAACATCACTTTCAAGGGTTGAAAGACGGCGTCCTCCCCATTACACCTTCTGACAAATCATTCGGGATGACAGACGAAAACGGGAAGTCATTTACGGGAGACAGTTGGCAATGACACCTGCATACGCCTTTACGGATTTCAAATCTCAAGGTCAAACGTTGTTAGCAATATATGTGGATCTTGCGCCGCCACCTAAAGGCGGACTGTCGCCTTTCAGCGCATATGTCGCGTTGTCGAGGAGCCGGGGAAGGGATAACATCAGGCTGCTGAGAGACTTCGACGACGAGTTGTTTACCAACCATCCGTCAGAGCAACTTCGGATGGAAGATGCGAGGTTAGAGGAACTAGCCAAGCAGACTGCATCTAGATTCCCAATATAATATTACCATACTCGACCAAGATACGGAGTCTGTGGGTCCGCTTGTCTGCATTCCCCTTTATTCCTCCCCCCACAACAACAACGACGGATATTTGACATTGTTTATTTTGCGATGATAGTGAAAGCGTTGATGAGGTACAGCGAGGAACGGGTCGAGATGAGGGCGGATGCGGAGATGTGCTGTACCTGTGCAGAGTGAGGTGCCGGAGCATAGGGGCTGGGAGACATAGAGCGGGGTACATGCAAGCAAATATCTTGAAGCAAACGAATAATTACATCTTGGACGAGCAGTACAGTTATAGTCTTGTATATAGTATAAGAAATGTGCGGAAGAGCGAGATGTTTTATATGACAAGTACTATTATCTGCGCCGTTTGCCGAAGAGTGATAGGTTTCCTCCAATCTGACGTCCTGTTATTTGCGCCACGTTTACGAAAGAGTGATGTGTTTGTTCCAATCCTGAACAATATGACCTCCAGAACGTCCTATTATTTGCGCCATGTTTGCGAAAGAGTGATATGTTTGTTCCAACATTGAACAATATGACATCCAGAGAGTCCTATTATTTGCGCCATGTTTGCGGAGGAGTGACATGTTTGGTTTGCTTAGAAATATGAACCTGGGAGACCTAGCTAAAGCGAGGTGATCGTTGTGTCAGCGTGTCGCAGTAAAATTCTGGCAAAGTAAAGCAAATGGAATGGCTCCTGTCGTACCAAAATCACGCATATGTACATAGATCAGGATTCTTCAAATTGACCACTCCTCTACTTTATCAAAATGGCTTCTCAAATTCAACAACAAAGTAACCCGAGTTATTCAGCAATTTAAAAAAAGTTACAGCATGGTACGTAGTCTTCTCCTTCCGAAATTCCCTTTTCTTCGTCAGGCATCCCTCGCCGTCTGCATAAGCGTGGCACCTTTGAAGATTAGTACGAGGCCAAATTTCAAAAACGTTGTGTAAACACTCTTCCGAGTCGTAAACAAGTAAGTCGAATCTTGTCAGATCTTCTCACTCCCGCAGATAACTTTTTTTGGAAGGAAACTTCTTCAAGCGCGCCGACTTGGCGCCGACGCCGTTATAAAAGAGATTGTTTCCATCTAACTATTGTTTAGTTTCGTCCAGCAGGAACCATCGTATTCGCCTCTCCATAATGCCACCCCGCCGTGCAAAACGCGCTAAACTGGAGTCTGTAGTCGGCACGACACCCTCGACGAGAGATGTCGTCTCCCTGCCCAATCGCACATCAAACGCCGTAGAGCTGCCTGTGGAACTCTTTCTGGAAATTCTATCATACTTTCCTCATGCGCCGGTTGGGCTTCCTCGCTACGGTATAGATATCCGCAGCGCCCCACCCGTTTTTTGTTTTGAGCGCACCGACCTCCTCAGAGCTCTCTCCCAGACGTGCCGACGGTGGAGATTGATTCTTCTACCTCTGCTTTGGGAGTGCCTCGAGGTCTACCCCGTCCGATCCCGGGAACCTGTGTGGAATCTTTGGCTCGCCAGGTCATTGGAGAGGAAAAGCAAAGGCCTTGTTCGAAGCCCTCAACACGCTGCTTATGTCCAGTGCGTGCCTGTATTTCATTCATTAAGTCATTTACGATTTAACGTTAATTCTTGAATCAACAGATGCGTAAGAGTCAGACTGTCAACGGCAAAAGTCCTGCCCGCCTTTGTTAGTTGTCTTCGGGCTCTGCCCAACCTACACACCCTGTCGATTATTTTCGACCATATCGAGATGACTAGTAGCCTTAAATCGGCTTTTGAAGGCCGAACGTTTCCGAGTGTGCGAACGGCGGTTGTACCAAACGATGCTCATAGTGTTTTGAGAAGCTGTCCAGAAGTGCGAAGGGTAATCTGTAACTTGGGTGATGGAAGCACGCTTGTAAGCGCGATGGCCAAGGAATGCAGGGAAGTTGAAGTCATCGAGGGCTTTCAGCCAGATGAAAAGATGATGAAACGTTTGTCGTTTTTTTGCGATGCTTTGATTGTACGGATACAATTGATCGTTGTCTAACAGGAATCGTGAAGGCCGCGCCTAACCTTCGGGGCGCCAGGTTCTCTCGATCTATCACTCCTGTTGGTATTTTCTCTTTGGCGCCCTAGAGCTCATCTGATTCGTGATTTGCTTATTGTTTAGGCGGCTCTTCTTCTGTTATCTTCTTTGAAAGACCTGGTAAACATTGAGCTTCACACTGATGTCCTCAGTGAGGCAGCCATTGGAAATAATGCTCGCTTGGCAGATTGCATAAAAATAGCGAAAGAAATGCTTCGAAAACGCGAGGGGACGAAGTCATTGATAGTGAGCCATTTTGCTTATAAACACACCTGGTTGCATGGCTGGAGCAAGAACATCGAGCTCGATTAATTATTTTTTTGATACAAGCAGAACTTCATGGACAACCGGACATTGACATCTTGTTATCTAATTTATTAACTTTACGAGAGCCGTTTACCCACTGGCAGTACATAGTTCGTGTATTTTGATAAATATTGTGGCTCATTGACTAGATCAAGGTGACCGTGCATGTATAGGGGATGAAAGCTCTTCTTCCATTTCTCCGCTACCAGAGCCTTTTCCAGGCGATAAGATCCGCACCAGCGGCCTCCCATCCGCTGTGTGAGATACAACCAATCCCATATCTCGGTGTTGAGCTGCAAAAACGGCGTGTGAAACGGCAGGAATTGATGAGCTCCAGCCAACCACCATCCGACGATGCTCGCAAGCTGCTAAAACGAGTTTAGCTGCGGGGCAGGAATGCGCAAAAAACGAGTATACCCATCCCAAGACATCATCGACAACGCGACGCAGATTGCCAAGAGCATCATCCCGATCGTTACGACGAGGACTGAAAGGCGAATTTGTACAACAGGCTGAGAAACGGTGAGGGTGCGTTGTTTGGGGTGGGGGTATTGTGCATCTTTGACAGTCATGAAAGCCCAATGAAAGCCTGCCAGTACCGCAGCATTTACTTTGCCTTGGGTTGAACAACTGGTTGTTCAGCAATGATGGACGCTTCCACCACAGACCGTTTATACATCTTAAAAGTTTGTTCAGAAATATAGACGGGATTTTCGTTGGGCCTTACTTCTGCAACATCCATAACAGCGTTGTCGTAGTACCCCGTTGGTCCGTTTATTGGATGTTTCTTGGAACGCTCCAGATGATGTTAACCCCAAAGCAAGACGTTGGCCAGAGAGGTGTTAGTTGATGTCAAGTCGCGAAAACCGCCAGCATCTTGTACCGAACCAAAAACATGAGAGTTGATGTTATCCACTATAGCCCCTTCCTTGACAGGTCGGGTCATCGGTGGCCCATTGAGGAAGGACTGTGGCCAACAAGGAGATTTCGTCTTGTAAGGCTCGGTTGGAGTTGGTGGAGTGAACATGGAGGGACGGCGGGGTAGAGGTGGTATGAGCAGCGCCCCTGCCATGTGTTGTTCCATTCCTGACACACAAAAATCCACTGCTCCGACGCGTCATCTGGAACGTAGTTAGTAGTCAAAGAGTTGATCGAGCGGAGAACTGGCATTGGCGTAGTCCAAAGCTTGGACCCGCGCAGCTAGTTCAACAGTTGCACCGGATAGAGAGTTGAGTTGTGGACACCAATAACGAGTCGTCCAGAAACGAGTATTAGAAAATTTCCTTCTGATCCAAGAACGGTACATGGAGCGAAGGAAGACACGCAGCGATGATGCACCAAAGATGGCCCATGGTGGAACGCGACCCAGGACTCGGACCGCAAATCGATGAAATAGTCATCACCTACAAAATTACCTTGAACCATTGTCGTACAAGTTAGAGGACGGGGGGGGCTGCTTGGGCGACTCACCTTTATTCTAGAGGCACGGGCGTTTATTGCAAGGTTCATTTTGAAAATCCTTCTTGACCGCGGGGCCTGTGGAATGTCAACTTTAGATAGGAACCTCCAATCGGCGCCATGAATGGACGTGTTTTAGGTGACGGAACTACGCTTCGTTGGCTTGAGCTGCCGGGCACCGCTTGTAAACGAATTCCAAACAGGCCGCACTTTTCATAATTGACCATGGTTCAAAGAGAATGATGTACAAATGCTGAGTGGTGGTTGGGTTGTAAATACTATGTGAGCTGTAAATATGTAATAGTGGTACTAAGAATAAAGAGTGGACAGGTGGGGGAGTCATGGATATGCGTCACGTCAATGAAAACAAACTACTCAAACCACGTCTTTAAAACCCTCCCATCCCTCCCATCCCCCCCATGCCACCACCCATGCCACCACCGGGCGCCTTCTCCTCCTCACTCTCAACAACACACACCTCACTCGTCGTCAACAAACTCGCGACCCCACTCGCATCCACAAGCGCCGTCCTAACAACCTTCAAAGGATCCACAATCCCCGCCTTGATCATATCCACATATTCCCCCTTCGCAGCATCGTACCCCCACGCAAACTTGTCCGCTCCCCCGTAGGTTTTCAGAAGCGTACCAACGATAACGCTAGATTCTTCACCGGCGTTGGTCAGTATCGTTCGTGCGGGGTTGGTCAATGCCCTTCTAATAATCGCCACGCCCAATTCTTGATCAAAGTTGATTGTCGAGATGGGTTTGGCGTCGGGTGAGACGGGGGAACTCGTCGACCCAGCTGCTGGAGAACTCGTAGCGAGCTGGAGGGAGGCTTTGAGGAGGGCTACGCCTCCGCCTGGAAGAATACCTTCCTCTACAGCGGCACGGGTAGCGTTGAGCGCGTCGTCGTACCTGTCCTTCTTCTCGCCTACTTCGACTTCGGAGGATCCACCGACTTTGATGACGGCTACTCCGCCGCTGAGCTTGGCCAGCCGTTCTTGGAGCTTGCTCCTGTCAAAGTCAGACGTGGTAGGGTCCGCAACGAGTGCGCGGATCTGTTCGCAGCGGGCCTGGATGGCATCTTTTGATCCTTCGCCGTTGAGGACGATGGTGTCCTCTTTCGTGATGCTGATGGAGCCGGTGGAGCCGAGCAGGTCGACGGTCGCGCGCTCGAGTTTAATGTCGAGCTCGTCGGTGAAGACGGTGCCCCCCGTGAGGATGGCGAGGTCTCCGAGGATAGACTTGCGGTTGTCTCCGAACCCGGGTGCTTTGACGGCCGCGACTTGGAGTTGGCCACGGAGCTTGTTGAGGATACACGCTGCTAGCGCTTCACCGTCAATGTCCTCTGCGATGATGACGAGCGGACGACGGGCTTGGGCTGCTGCTTCGAGTGAGGGGAGGATATCCTGGAGCAAGGAAATCTTCTTCTCGCTCAGGAGGATGTACGGTTTCTCAAACTCGACTTTTTGCGATTTAACGTCCGTGACAAAGTAGGGGGAGATGAAACCGCGGTCGAAGCGCATGCCTTCGGTGATTTCGATCTCGTCCTCGATTGTGCGGCCCTCTTTGACGGTGATGACACCTTCCTTGCCGACTTTTTCCATGGCCTGCGCAATGAGGTTGCCGACGTGGGTGTCGCCATTTGCGGAGATGGTGGCGACTTGAGCAATCTCTGCGGTGGTGGTGATGGTCTTTGTGTTGGCGGAGAGGAACTCGACGACGCGGTCGACGGCTGCTTGGGAACCGCGGCGGAGGTCCATGGGGTTGCAGCCTGCCGCGACGTTCTTGACGCCCTCGGAGTAGATGGCGCGAGCGAGGACGGTGGCGGTTGTTGTTCCATCACCTGCGATTTCGTTTGTCTTTTGTGCAACGTCTTGGACAAGGCTGGAGGGAATGTGAGAAAAGAAGAGGACGAGGGGAAGGGGTAGTTACCGAGCACCAAGGTTCTCAAACTTGTCTTTTAAAGTGATAGATTTTGCGACAGTAACACCATCTGAGAGACATGAGTGAGTGAGGAAGAGATGACGTGTCACGGCAAGTTCTTACCTTTTGTGATTTTGGGACCACCAAACGACTGTTCGATGATGACGTTGCGACCTAAAGAAGAGTTCAGCAAGGGCAAGTAACAGTGGGTATTGAGCGTACCCTTTGGACCAAGGGTGACGCTGACGGCATTGGCAAGGACGTCGACACCCTTGAGAATGCTAGCTCTGCCCTCGTTCGAGAACTTGATCTCCTTGTGCGCACCACGAGCCAACGTGGGCTTGGCTGCTTTTGCAGCTGCACGGCGGAGAGACCTGGATGAAGTGGTCGACAGACGATGCATTTTGAGTAGTGAGTGATGGTAGTAAAGAAAACGAAGTTTATGGGAAAAGTCGAAAATTTTGAAACTCCCATCCCTGCGTCACGTGTTCCAAATATCATGGAACGACCACGACGATCGACGAGGACGCCTGCTAAAACGCCTCTGGAGCTCAGCACACCTACTAAACGCGTCAAGAGAAAGGCGGTGGAGGTTGTTGATCCTAAGGAGAGTTTACGTGTGCTGTTGCAGAGTCCGAAAAGTCTGCTTACGACCACGAATATCTCGGTATGTGTGCTACCAACATTCAATTTTGAGCTTGGTGCTAAATGTTCTATAGGACATTATAAACCTCTCAACATGGTCCCTCCTCTCTCCAGAGTCCCAAACAGCACTGCGGGCCCTCTTACCACCAACAGCGTTTACGGCGTACCAAGAATCATTAGGACCAGACCACCCCGCATTCAATGCCAACGCCAGTAGTGCAATGGACGTCGACTCCCCGTCTACGCCCCTTGGCGAACTAAACCCGTCGATATTCAACGACCCGCACTTCCTAGCAGCAGCACATACATTCCAAGACCATCTATACAGTAACTGGCTTTCAGATGCACACTCTGAGAAAGTGAGGGTGTTCTTGGAGGGCATTAGGGATGGGAGCTTGGCTGCGCCGTGGAAGGATGAGGTCTGGGAGAAGGATCATCCTGAAACACCGGTTACTGCCCTTGCGAATGAGCCAGAGTCGGGTGCTCGTGCTGGGTACGTTCGCTTCCTTTCTTTCCTGACTAAAGAGAGACTCTGATTTTGACTGTAGAGGAGCAGCAGAAATCAAACTGATAACACTCGCGAAAAACGGCGTCATCCGCGTAGGCGACGTAATAGCCTACTCTCGCCATTTCTCAACGCACCAACTCCTCATCGAGAAAGACGTTATCGTGAGTCCCTATCCCTTTGCCAACTCCCCATACTAACCCCTTTTTTTAGGTCCAATCGATCCACCCATCCTCACACGCACTAACCGTCCTCGCCTCCCCAAGCACCACCAAATCCCTCCCTCCCCCCTTACTATCCACGCACCCAAGCGACCCAGAACCGCCGACTAGGTCAATGACAATTACGAGCCCCACGATGCTCGAAACGGGGTTGTTAGATATGGATGGGAGGATTGAGAAGGTCCAACGGCCGAATGGGAATGCGTGGAAGAGGGTGAGCGTTTGGCGCTGGCGGGATGGGGTGGGTGGAGTTGGGGGAGAGGGAGGGGAGAGAGGGGGAAGGGAGAATCATGGGACGTTGTTTTATTTGAGGGGGTGTTATTATAATGATATGATATGATGTGATATGAACCAAGATGTGTATATACAGTGTACTACCTAATGTCCACATGGAATCGGAATAGTCTACTTCAACCCATCAAGCACACCCTCCTCCCAAGCCCTCTTCATAAACTCTTTAAAGAACGGCTCGTAGTCAAACGTCCTCTTCACATGGTCGGTCTGTCAAATGCAGACATCAGCTTCCTCTTGAAGGACAAAGGAGACCAAGAAAGGAACAAAAACCCTCTCCAGCGGAAAAACAAAAAGAACTCACATTCGCCCTAACACCCTTCCCAATCTCATCCTCAAGACCCACCTTGGCTCTCATACCACTCCTCACACATTCCTCCCAAGCTCTCACTAACTCCTCTTTGGACATCTGGAGGATCTCGATGTTGCGCTGTTGTTTACGGGCGCCAAAATCTGGTGCGTACACCAGCCCGCCGTCTAGTGGGAGGGGGGAGGAAAAGATGGTCGGTGCGGATGATAAAAGCGTCGGGTCTACCTGCAAATAACACCTTAGCACCCCTCCAAAAAAAAGGAAAGAAGGAAAAGACAAACCATCCCCCTCCACCCCTCCCCCTCTTGACACGCATCCAACCGCCGTTCCAACGCAACCCTCTCCCTTTTCCCAAGCTCAAACTCATCACTCGCACCTTCATACCCCCCATCCACGATCGCTAAGAGGCTAAAACGGATGTTGGACCCCGAGTCGGTGGGTGAGGCGCCGTATTTGGACATTTTGAGCCGGAGGGCGGGGCGGACTGTTGACATCCATTCGGATGTGGGGCTTTGGGGTGGTTTAGGTTGAGGATTAGGTTGAGATGAGGAGGAAGGTTGAGGTGGTGGATGGTGGGATAGAGGCAACTCCCCGACTTCTAATGGCCCGGATTTTAACCCGTCGAGTTCCCAGACTTTACCGAATGCTGGGACGTAGCCTATGAAGTGATACGTTTCTTCTGCTCCTTCTTCTTCTTCTTCGTCTCCTTTGGCTTTGGCTTTTTCCTTTCCTTTGGATTGAGCATTGGGTCTTGGTTTGGCTTTTGAGGGGGTACCGTTGGTTTTGGCGCGTTTGGCTGGGGGTGGTTGGTCTGTTGATGTTGATTTTGATTTTGATTTGAGTTTGGCGCGTTGGGCGAGGAGGGAGGTGGTTGTTAGTGAGTTTAGGGCTCCCCGGATGTCGGCTGGTCTATTGTAAAGTGAGTACTTGATGAGCAGACAACAAGGGGGGAAGGAAGGACGGACCGTGCTAGTGAGTTGTGTGCTTGTCGGATGGTTGGAGAGTTTGTTATCGCCAAACCTCTTATCTACGCCATACATAAGTAAGTACTTAAAGTCTAATATGAGAAAGAGAGGGAACGTACAACAGGCGACATCCTCTCCGTCTCCTCCTTAAACATCCTCAACTCCTCACCCAACTCCACGCCGGGGCAATTCAAAACGACGTTCAGAATAGCATGAGTTGCACACGCGTCGTCGCTCAGCTGATTGGCGAACCAGACTCTGTCTGCAGCGGGATCGTTAAAGTCAGTTGGACGGTGGGCGTCTTTACGCCACATGAAGCAGAAGATGAGGCCTCGGGGGGAGAGGTGGTCTGTTGCCCATGGTTCGATGTCGTAGAGCTCGATGAGCTCTAGACCACGTATGCCCAAACGTCGGGTGAGGGATGTGAATACGCCTGGTATTTCGTTATTGAGTTGTATTTCGAGAGATTGGATGACATTACCTGGGTCACTTTCGATAACGGCGAATGGCCCACCGACGAGGTCGATCATTGTGGTTAGGAACTGAAACACGTGCTCGCATCGACATTGTGTCGGGATTGACCGGTCACTCCTAAACGTCGACCGTAACAATGTCCTCGTCGTTGCTCGCTCGCTCTATTGCTCGTCGTTCCATCTTGGGAGGTAACGTTCCCGGCTGCCATTCATTTGACTCGCTCTAATGACACACGAACAGCACGATACACCGCTTCTTCAACTTACCAACCCACCTACGTCCCTGGTGGCCGTACGTCTCTCTACTCTTCTCTATATAGAGCATCCGCTAACCCACGTCAACAGCGATTTTAAAAGGAACAGTAAACGACCCAACGAGCTTCCCTACCCCTTCACGCACCCACGGCTCCTACCACTGGGCATTCGAGCGTATCCTCTCAGCGGGCCTCGTCCCCCTAACAGGCGCAGCCTTCGTCACCAGCGCCACAGCGTACCCCGTTGTGGATGCGTTGTTGGGCGTGGGGCTGGTTATGCATAGTCATCTTGGTGTAAGCCCCCGTCCCCTGCCCCTGTGACTGATTTTGATTTTGATATGGTGTAGTTTGGACAAATCGTAGCTGATTACGTGCACCCGCGCAAGTTCCCCGTTTTGGGCCCTGTGGCGACGTGGGGGCTTAGGACTGCGACTGTCGCTACGCTCGTTGGGGTGTATCAGTTTAATACGAATGATGTTGGTCAGTATCCACGCCTCGTTCGCTCCATCTTTCGTTGCTGACATGGAATGTACAGGCTTGACGGAGCTCATTGCTAAAGTATGGGGCGCGTAATTCGTAGAATGATTGTCACAAGGGGCAAACCGCATTCGTCGCCTGGCGAAGAGGTAATAAAAGGGAGATAATTATGTTAAATAGTCAATTCCACATTAGTGGTAAAAATGTCCAAATAGAAAAGATTCATTGTTCATTCAACTTTACAGCCACAAAAAGGTCATATCATGTATGTAAAATATTTATTGGTAGTTTGTTAGAGCAGGAATGACTGAGAAACAAAAGAAATTCTTGCCAGAAAATGAAGATAAAGAAAGACCCTGTTTTACCTGGGCAACAATGGTGAAGCAACTATTTAATGTCATTGAAAGGTCTTTCTTGGCACTGTAAAAAGCAATCAAGGAAATTAAATTTAACCCTCTTAAACAAAGGAACCCCAAGAGATAATTTTAATTCTTTGTTTCTGTTCCCTCAGGCCAGAAAGATCTTTCAATGACATTAAATAGTTGCCTCATCATTGTTGCAAATGTAAAACAGGGTCTTTCTTTATCTTCCTTTCCTGACAAGATTTCTTTCATTTCTCAGTCATTCCTGCACTAACAAACTACCAATAAATATTTGACATACACATCATCACCTTTTTGTGGCTGCAAAGTTGAGATAACAATGAATCTTTTTCATTTGAACATTTTTGACACTAATGTGAGATTGAATATTTAACATAATTATCTCCTTTTTATTACCTCTTCACCGGGCGATGAATGTGGTTTGCCCCTTGTGTGTACTGTACTAATCCAATCAATTCGTCGGTCACGCGTCACAGGCGGTCCGAAATCGACGAAATTCTAAGCGGTCACAGGTCACAGGAGCCAGCGACGAAACCACCAGGTCAGTCAGAAAAGGAACAAAATTGGGGTCTTTTTTCATTAGAAATCGATTTTTTCGCCCTCTAAGTCTCTCTAGCAAAGTTCTCTGAACTATTTTAAATTATCTAAGGACAGAGGGCTACTCCGACATTTTGACGAAAATTTCCGGCAGTCACACCTTCCCCGGTGACGCGACGAAACCAAAATTTCGTCGCGTGGGTCACAGGTCACCTGGTGCGACGAATTGATTGGATTAGTACAGTATATACAAAAGTAATATCAAGGTCATGCGTGAAGGTACCGGAAGTGATAACGTAATCACCCGTCATTTTACTCATCCAGCGCCGAATTCATCCACAACCAAATACTTTGCCATGTTCAGACCAGCCCTCCGTTCATCCGTAAGTTCACTTCTTCTACAACCCACACAGAAGAAAAAGCTAACAAAAATCCAGGCAAACCTCCTCCGCTCTTCCTCCTCTTTCTTCTCTTCTCCCACACGCAGACTACTAACCCAAGAAACCCGCTCCCTAATCCAAAAAGCAGTCACCTCAAGCCCTGTGGTGCTATTCATGAAAGGAACCCCCGCAGAGCCTCAGTGTGGTTTCTCAAGAGCCGTGGTGCAGGTTCTGGATCTGCATAATGTGCCCGAGGAAAAGATGACCACGTTTAATGTGCTTGTGGATCAGGAGTTGAGGAATGGGATTAAGGAGTTTTCGTGCGTTTCCCGTTCTTTCTTTGCTGGGTGGTTTTAAAGCTGATGACGTTTTGGTAAACAGGGAATGGCCGACGATTCCGCAGATTTATGTGAATGGGGAGTTTGTGGGCGGTTGCGATATTCTTCTTGGGAGTGAGTTCTCCCCCCCCCCCCCCTTCTCCTCGTCTTTTCTCCCCTTTGCTTATGTCGGAAAATAGTGCATCAGTCAGGTGAACTGGAGACGTTGTTGGAGAATAATAATATCATTGAAAAGGTCGAGCCTAATGCGGAGGGGGCGCCGGCTTCGAGTTCTTCGTCGTCGTCATGAGGTGGAATGGTGTCCATTTTGGACAAAATGTAGAAGCAGGATTCACCGAAGCTTTTGCATACGAGATGTATGTGTAATTTATGAAGTGCAGCTGACGATGCTATAATAAAGGTTCTCCTTCATGTGAACGGACCAGCGTGCCAGCTGTGAGTTGGACCTTTTACGTCAACTTCAAGCCTCCGACCCTGTGATTCTCTTGATATCTCTTCCTTCGGCTGTAGGTTGCATTCTTGCTTACCTGGCCTCATCGGACGTCACGGCGGTGGTGCACTGGATGTGCGCTTCTGCTACAACAAGGAATCTGGCGGTAAATGACATTCACACTCGGACGTTCCAGCGGCTACTGCCGACAAAAGTTTGGAACCTATTCCTTGAGGGCAGGATGGTTTATAGAATACTAAATGTCGCTGGGGCGCTCTTCACGTTGTGTCTGCGTCCCAACCTTGGACACGGATTCGCTTGTTGATTCACACCAGGCAGGGATGCGCAGGAGACTTTGTACGTCAACTTCAAGCCTCCGGGTGGGGTGTGATTGATTCTCTTGATCTTCCCCCCCCCCCCCCCCCCTAGGCGCCTGCCTCAGGCTGTGGACCGCATTCTTGCTTACCTGGCTTCGTTGAACTTAACCGTCAAGGTGGTGCTGTGCATGTGCGCTTCTGCTGTGACTACATCGAGGAATCTGGGTGTATGACACTCATACTCGGACGTGCGACTACTAACCGACAACAGGATGGAATGTATTTACACCTTGTGTTGAGCTTTGGACGTGTGTCAGTATTGTTTACACTTGTTGATTCTCATGATCCCCATCCCTCCCCGGGCTCCTGCCTCCCGCCGACTGTGGACCGCATTCTTGCTTGCCTAGCCTCGTTGAACGTCACGGTGGTAGAGCAGTGGATGTGCGCTTTTGCTTTGTCGAGGAATCTGGGTGTAAATAACACTCACACTCGGACGTGCCAGCGGCTACTGACCGACGAAAGTATGGAATGCATTCCGGGGACACCTTGTGTTCGACTTGAACATGTTGTCAGTCCTGGACGTGTGATCCCGTTGACACGACTTTTTGACGCCCTGGTGCCTCTACTAGGAACGGATGTTTCCCACTGCAAAACTGGGCTTCGGGTTGGTTGTAGATCCGAAGCGAGGCGTTGAATGGAGCGCGGACCATGTACGATCTTTTCGGCCACTTGAGATACATACTAACTTACTATCTAACGAGAAGATTCAGTTTCGAGTCATCTTGTCCAAAACTCTCATTTCATTTACCGAGTGTATCGCAGTGATCGACATCCCCCCCAATCACAATGCTAGCTTCTGACAGAAGTAATCACCGCTCAAGAACCTGGAATTCAGTTGCCTGGGGGTCCATAACAAAGGCCCCTGGCCCCACTTGTTGGGTCGAGTCCTTAACGCCCGCGCTCGCTCCGTTGCCTCTGATCTGTCCTCGTGCAGATAGCAAAAAAAAACACTGGCGGATGAGTCACAAGCTTATGGGTCATTCCGTTCATAATCACCGACGCGGGAGAGCACATGCACAACGGCCGCGTATAAGGATTTTGCTAAAGATCATTGTATTTTATGACATAGACGCGCGGGCATTTCAGATCCGAGATTCGCGCCCGCCACGGTCTCGAGCTTCTCGAAGATTGTGCGATCTGTGGTTAACTTCTTGAAGCTGGCCCCTGGAAACGGTCCTCATTGCAGAAAGCGTGAAGGTTTACGGTGATTCCGTGTTTGGTGAGATTACGTTAATGAATGAGGATATGAGGTTGATTGTCCTCGCAGGATGGGAACTTTGTCTGGGCGTAGCAAGGTTATTGTACTTGGATTGAACGGAACGGGTGGTTCCGTGAGTTGCGTCCGTTGTGTTTCCCAGGACTGGGCGCTGAAATTCTGGGACTCCTTAACTGCTGGGTCTTTTTGTACTGAAACCGCGCTCGCTCCTCGTACGTTGAATCTTTGTGCGTGTCCTTGGGCTTTATTGAAATCTTACGAGGGGGTCGTAATCATTGACAAGCACCAACTTGTCGTAATCAATGATCCCTGAAACGGGAGAGAGTGCAACGATCAAAGATGTTTTGCTGAGTCCTGCGCAGGATAGAACTTGAGTGTTTTTATTGCTGAAAGCACAGAGCCGGTTTAAAAGTGCTGAAACTGGATGTGACGTTGGCTTTTTTTTTGACACCGCTTAATGGATAACACTCCCAAGACTGGGCCTTTGGACCGCGCCGCTCGGGGTGTTTTCTTTTCACGGGCAATGGCACGTCTTCGTCTTGGACTCGTTGCAAATATGGGGGGAAAAAAAAACATCTGGCGCGGAGAAGTCATAACTTTCGGATTGGCGAGCGTATAAAGCCGTAATTTCTGACCCGGTGAGGAATTAGCTGTTCATTTTCACCAATCCAGGAACTTGTGTTACTGACGATGTTAAAGGAATGAATAATTCAATACCCTATGGGTTGGGCCGACTTCATCAACCCATTAATTTCGAATGTTTTGCGAAAGTGGGCGATTGAACTCTGTAACTTCAAATGCTTTTCGCACGAAATATATATGTTCATCCACTCCAAGGGGATCACCGTAATCTCCGACTTTCTGAGGATCGCTGCCACATCTCATAGGCCTTTGTATTTTTACTGCCAGCAATGCACAATGGAAGTACTTATTGGACAGTTGGTTGACTTCTTGACAGCCCCTTCCAATTCAAGACCACTGGGATGGGACTCTGTTGGACCGCTGGAACAGCTTTGCCTTCGAACATATGTCCACCACCCCCTTGAAACGGCTTCATTGCGGATAACGATACCTGAAATTCACCGGCAGCTGAGAGGAGTCACAGGCGATTATGACTCAAAAGAAGCTAGCCATACCCATAATTTCCGACTTGGTGAGAGTACAATGACCATTGACAAGGATTTTCTTCTCATTCTCATCGGGTATATTCCTCTTTCCCTTTTGCCATCGGCAGCTTCGGACAGCCTGGGCGGGAGCACGTCGACGGGACTCCGGTCGGAGGCGGTGCGAAATGCAGACATAGAAGACTACGTGGCAGGGGCTGCTGTGCTTCAAGTGTTACGATAAGGTAGTCCTAGTAGAGCGCTCTCAGATCTAGACGTGGAAAAGTTAATGCGAGTGTAGCTTTCATGTGTCGTACAGTGACGTTTCCCTGTCCTAACCTGCTACAAAGGGATGAAGAGCCTGTCAAAGAGCCCCTGAGGTTGGCTGGGATATATTGCCCGGCTGTTGAATAGTCGAATTTTGTCCGGGATTTACCCAACGTGAGCTTTTCTCATGTGCTTGAAAGGTAGGAGTAACCCCGATCTGGGGTATGTGGTTTGGGCGGCTTTATTCGATGTTTGCTGAATTTACTTTTGGAACCACCAGGGGAGTTGCCAGTGGAAACTTGTTTATTGTGGAAAGTTGGTCACACAGGAAATCCTCTGACAAACAAAGTTTGTTGTGTTTAAACTACGAAGTACTCAGTACTCGAGAGGTACTACTTGTAAGCGGGTAAGGATCGGAAGGTACAGGTATTATACACATGTAGTTTTACTCATTTTCACTGAGCTGAATGTCTGTACTGTAAAGTCCTCCAGAATGCGGCGAAAGTCCACTTTAGTTTACTAGCGTGTCCGAAATGTCCAAAAGTTTGTGGGGCTGGTATGTTGCCAAAAAAGAATGCCAATAATACTACTATGTAAGTCCGTAAACCCAGAAAAAAATGAGAGAAAGAGGTGCTTGTTCGACATAGTGTTCAACTAGTAACCCATCTTGTACCGCCTTGAGCGACAGGGCATTTGTGATTCCCCAGAGTTTTTTTCGTTGAGAAAAAACGTCCACAGTCTTCACAGGAGAATTCACAGACTTTTCCATGCTTCGCCACCTCGTGTCGGAGACGATCGTGCTGTCGTGAGAACCGCTCGGAGCATCCCAGGGTGCAGGGGAAGGAGACACGTGGTTTGGGCTTGTGCGCCTCCATGTGAACCTTGAGCGTGTACTGACTCGTGAAACGGCGAGCGCATCCGAGAATTAAACATGGGAAACGGCGACGTTGGTGATGTGGATCGCTTTCACTCTGCGTTGGCGACGAGTCCCGTGAGGTGGCAGATTTCGCATCTGCAGCATCCAGGCTGGAGTGCGAAGGTGAAGGAGAGCAAGATGTTGCGGAAGTTGCTGCAGGGCTTCCGGGATGTATTGACGCCCATGACGAGGTTGTGGGGTATTCATTGGGTAACGAGGTGCCGAAATCAAAATCGAAAACGTTTGAGAATTCGTTGAGCGCCGGTGGTGAGGACAGAGCTATTGTCTAGGGGTTTGCGAAGTTCTGGTATAAAATTGTAGAGAGCTCACCACTCTGTTCAGACCGTGGCGAGCTACTTATAATTGATATCGACGGTGACGGTGATAGTGAATTGGGAATCAACCTTGCTTCGGGACGAGAAGGAAAGGTGGTGGAAGATGAAGAAGCTCCATCATATGACCAAGAACACAGGTTGCTGTCGAGCGTATCATCTGGGAACCGTAAATACCGGTTTGGCAATGCAGAGATATAACAAACCATAGGAATAATTATCTTCACATATCAAATGTGGTGGTGGTAGCGACGTCGGATTACATTGGGGCACTGACATTCGGCAAGTAAGTTATTTGTTGCGTAGCTCACAAGAGAATGGATTTAACCTGGATCATAGGATTCAAGATCTGAAAGGAGATAGCTTGAGTTCATCCAATGCGACATTGAGATCTGTTGGTCTAAGTACGACTAAGTTCGCGAAGAAAGTGTGACCCAGGGGTACATACCGTCGTAAAACTCGTCCGGACTCGTGTGCAGTCCGTCCGCGTACGAGGAAAAGATCTTGAGAGCGGGTCCTCTATCGTCAAGGCCTATGGGCAAGTTCATGGAATATGGGCTAAAGCCCTTGAGACCTGTAATCGAAAGAAAAAAACAGCTATTCTCAGACTGCTAGCATTGGGCATGACACAGGATGAACGTACCAAGGCTCAGCAAAGGTGCTTTCACCACGGGCATGCTTCCAAATGACGCGTCGGAGAGAGGATCGAAGGAGAACGAGTGAAGTTGGGGGATTCCGGAACGAAAAAAGAAAGGTGGAGGTGGCTGGGCTTATCAAGGAACGTGAGGGAGGACAGGGACAAGTCATCCAATATAAAAGGGTGTGTCGATCGGGCGCTGAATGTGGGAAGGCACATTTCCTTTGGCACGCGAACAGCCTCCATTTATATTGCTGCAAAAACAAAGCTGGAGAACGAGGCTGGAGCATGGACCTCCCGGCAACTTTACAAACAAATTTGACTTCATTGTCAAGGGTATGTTCTAAGACGAAAGCGCCAGATCCCGCATTTCCATAGTGCGAGAAAACTTCTTAGATTTGAAAATGATTTCGAGAGATAGATTGTCAATTCGGTAGGGTCGGTTTCGCTTAATAAGCAGGAGTTGGATGCGTCTTTGGCCAATCTTTGGCGTTGCTTACCTTTGTTCTTCTCGATCGGATTGGTCTGCATTAGACCCTGATTTCCTTATCAAGAATTATGAATACCAAAAGGCGTGTTGGGATCCAATCGCAGGTAAATCCGTGTACCTGGGGACAGCCACAGTTCCGTGCTTCCAGGCTCTAGCTCTCATGTCTCTCGTCGAAAAAGTTACAACCTGTTACAACACTCAGAGGATTTTGGTGGTTGATGTGCTGCTCGAGAGGGCTTTCAATTGAAGCCCGATACCTCCTGAGTTTTTTCGCAAGATGAATGGATTTTGACTGGTTAGTCGGTTTGCTCTTACTCTCCGGAGGGATCTCGTCGCCATCGATACATGCAGGAAGGCCCTTCCCAACCTTTTCATGTTCTCAAAGCTCGGAAGCCGGGTCGAGGTAAGTAGTCCCGGAAACCAGCGGGCCCATCAACGTCAACCCTCAGTCTGTTTTCCAGATCCAGATTGTATTTCTTCACAAAGTTAATCTGGGCTGTGTGCCGCTGCATGACCAGGCTGAACTCGTGACGAGCTTCGTTAGGCCAACAGAGATTCATTCTGGATCTTCTGTTCAAGAGATGGATCAAGACCGCCATTTAGAGAAAATTACAACGCTGGCTCCCGTCTGGGAACAATAAGAGGCGATACCCAGTGGCCACTTTGCGCCCCACGTAATAACCTACATAACGGTCTAGTTCGTACGCCTGAAAGAGCAAACAGACGCTTTTAGGAGGTTACCGCATTTGAGAGGTACGAAACACTGCCACTTTTTGTGAAAGGGACGATTTCTTGGTGTGATTTGCTCTTGTGTCCATCGATCTATCACCGTGAGTCAGGTTCAACACAGCCTACTTTACTTGCCTTTTTCTCAATGATTCCCGGAAGCCACACGGAAAACTATGCAACAGAAGCACGAAAAGCAAAGAGTACTTACAAGCGCAAATGCGAGTGCAATGAGCGTTGAGTGGTGAATGTTTTATCTTTGCTTCAACTGATTTACATAGAACTAACACCACTGACATCACCAAGTCCGGTCCATATCATCTCCATCCTCCCCTTTGAGCAGAGTAGACATCAATCATCCGTCGAAATGCTGTGCTATCCAATACTTGCGGCCGACGGGTGACAATGCCCTTCCCCGATATTGCGTCAGGAATCCGAAGGATTCTGCACTTCTTTCCAATTTCGGACCCAGACAAACTCGGAGAGTTGGCCAAAAATCGTTTTGTCACCGGAACGAAGTAATTTTTCCTCTTCTCTCCAGCTCTCCAACCACGGCTCGTCAAGAACATTCGATAGCTCAACAGGCATGACCACGACTTCCTGAGCGCCACAAGCTCGTATGTCATCCGATGAGACAGGATCCCGGTATGTTGTCGGCCTTGGTAGGGAACAGTCACGATAGTTTCACCGTCGACGGCTAAAGTCTGCTAAAGTACGTCCAAATCGCGCTTACTACCACCTTTTTTTTTTTTCAGTATTACTTACTTTGAGATGTTTTTTTGCGATACCGACGTTGAAAGTTTGCAATATCGGATCAAGCAAGTATTGATGTCCGAAGATGATAAGAACGCCTATTGATTGTCATCTCGCGAGTGGATCGACACACAAAGGGAATGCGAGCGCCAAATGACCGATACTATTGCACCCTTCAGACATACCCTCCAGGATTGATCTCGCTCGGAACCGACGAGAACTGTAACGTAAGTTTGACAAGGGCTGTTCCGACAAAAGAAAAGACAAGCGGACACAATATGGGCAAGCTGGTCACGATGGACATTGCGGGGACTCTTGCATGTGTTGAATGAATGACAACAGCACAGCCAGCTTTCACGCCACTGAAAATCATTGGCAGGTGGGTTTACAGCTGAATGCAAAACCCCAGACACCTCGGAGAAATTTCTTGACTCCGCCTCGCTTGGTGTAAACAACCATTTGAGGAAGGAAGCGGGCATCAATGACGCAAATCCTCCACCAACTCAGGTATATGGAGTGCTCCACACTCCACTCGAGGTTATAATGATACGGACTTGTGCCAAATGCGGTTGTTTGCACAAAGCGAGGCGGAGACCAGAAGTTTTCGGGAGGTGTCTAGGGTTTTGCATTTGGCTGTAAGTCGGTTGGTATCTCGCCTACAATGTGTCAAATCTGATAGGGGTTGGTGGTGTACGTCAAGTGGGCGAAAAGCGTTCACTTTGATCCAGGAAATACTTATCACGGGAGAGCGCCGCCTGAGTCCTGGCCGACAACTTCGCAAAGAGTTTATGTAATTTAATCCGGTCATTTGAACGGCAGGGTCACTTCCAGACCCCTCGGGACGGCTATCTCATCTGTTCCTTAGATAAGCCCACGTTGATCAAGTTGATCATTGCAAAGATTTTTTGATCTTTTTGAATTTCTCTGTGAGAAGTTCTCGGGCGTGATGGAAACGAGAGACTCCTAAGTAGCACTGGTATCTATGGCAACAGGGACCAGCCAGCTTCAAAATCACGGCTAAGACCGATATTTGTACGCTGCCGATCAATATGCCGAAATTAATTATTGTATTTGTAACATAATATTGTTTATTGCTGTTTTGAAATAGTTGACGTCAAAATAAAGTCTCAAATGCCCGCGAATCCTCGAACACGATTTTCTCTGTAGATACTTATCGTAGAGACATAATTTATAGTGTTTTGGAACCGTCTCGGCGAGATCTAGGTCGCCCCATAGTTTATTGTATGAGAAAACGAAAACTACATCATACTTACTGCTGCTGGAGGGTAGGTTTGGACAGTGCCGAGACTGCTGCAAGGATTTCTCTGCCAATACCAAACGTAAAGCTACAATTTTGGGTGAGTTAGAATTGCATAATGTGCACCTAGGTCGCCCCATAATTTATTTTGTGTAAGAGTATGTACTGGTCTTGTAACTGCGCTATAGGTGACGACACCCCATCACTTCCCTTCCAAATTCGGTCGTCGCACGTCTTTATGCAAAATAAACATTTTCTACTCTACGATGCCAACGCGGTAAGAATTGTACTTTTCTATTGAGTAGGCAAAGAGAAATCAATGCAGCAATTAGGTAACTAACTGCTGCATCAATTTCTCTTTGCGTACTTAACAAAAAAGTATATTGTCATTTACTTTTGAAATGAACCATAGGGCGACCTAGAGCTCGACGAGGCGATTTCAAAACACTATAAATTATGTCTCTATGATAAGTATTTACAGAGAAATCGTGTTTGAGGATTCACGGAGATATGAGACTTTGTTTTGACGTGATTGCGGCCGCGCCAACTATTTCGAAAACGGCAATAACAATATTATATTCAATAATTAATTTCGGCATATTGATCGGCAGTGTGGTCTTAGCCGTGATTTTGAAGCTGGCTGGTCCCTGTTGCCATATATTTCAATGAAGATACCAGATGTACATCGTATGGGAAACAACACGAATCGGCGCTTTCACTTTGGCGATAACGCGATAGGAAATTGTGAATTGATTGTGACAGTACGAAATATTTGATGGACAATATTAATATTAAATTGTGAATAGTTATAATTAGCTTCGGCATATCAGTCGGCAGCGTACAAATATCGGTCTTAGCCGTGATATTGAAGCTGGCTGATCCCTGTTGCCATAGGTATCCAAGCGTCGGCCGTGATTTGAATTGTAGGTGCATACAGATATATTACTTTGCTTCTAAAGGGATTGATCAATAGGATTTTACCAGCTCATGACTGTCATTCAGTGCATTCAGCGAATAAATTAGCCCGCTCATGAAATATCGAAAGATCCCAGTGTCGCTCAGACTCAGGTTGGACTCAGGAGCGACTTCCGCATGGCAAGATCGAGCTGTAAGCTGGTCAAAATAACTCATTGCTATCTGAGCTTCGTCGTGACCCATAATTGTAGGTACATTACTCTTGATGCCCCAAGTGGCAATTTAGATGAATGCAGAAACGACCATTCAGGGTATGATGGTACACGTTTTTCAGTACTTCTCATACAGACCGAATTTGATAACGAGTGCAAAACATTCGCTCATGAAAAATTACGTGATCTCAATGGCGGAATTTGGGAGACTCGCGCATGGATGGTACAGGGCCATGGATTTGGGTATATTAATTTTTTTGGCCTTTCTTGAAAGCAATATAACTAGAACGGAAAAAGCTAGACTCGCACCGTAAACCCAGTTTCGTGTGACGTTTCAAAACCTCATCCGCGATGAACTATTGCCATTCGCCATCAAGAAAAACAAAAAGCACTCACATACCTGTGTTTTTTCACGTTCACACGTCAAAAATTGATGTTGTTAGGACACTGCCAGGACGGGACCTGGACACGACGCACTTGACTGGATGCACCGCGTTTTCAAAAACAGCCACTTAAGCGTCCAAGAGCGTCACTAGATTTTTCCTGTTCGAATTTGATATAGACCGCTTGATACAGGCAACATTCTCCTGCATCATGATTTTCAAATCCACAGCCCTTGCAATTTTTTTTTGGGTAAAATGTGACTTGGATTTGGGCGGCCAACGGAGTCAAGTGTAAGTTTGGCCGCTTTGTCGCCACAGTAAACGCGAAGAGAAGTTCCCAGCACACTCAACCCGTATAGGTGAGGATTGGGGTAATGATATAGCATCCATCGACGCATCTGCGCGTCCGCTTCAAGACGGCCGAGAGGATGGTCCATCCATCTATCCTAGTTGATATCCGTTACGAGAACGGTCTTGAATTGTAGCGAATATACGGACAACGGCGTCACGGACAGATGTCATTGGAAATAATAGTGCTGGTCCTAGGGTGACCCGGGAGGTGAAGGCCAAGTGAAGACGTTTTGGGACACCTAGCGAGTAGATAAAGAGCCGATTGCGTGGGCCAAAATAACGAGATTCCTGTCACCACAAGTATGATGACTGAAATAGGGCTGAAATAGCAGCTGGGTAAATAATTTCATGTGAGTGGAAAATGATTTCAAAATTCATGACTCCGACATGAGGTGGGGACGATGTTGTTTGGTCTCATTTGGCAGAGGCCTGGGCCACAATTGTGCACTAGTGTGGCGGCTAGAGCCGGTCGGGGCTCGTTTTCATTCCCAATTGCGGTAATTGTTGGGGCTCCGACTGCAAGACACTGGTGGATTGAGGTGCAACCAACGACATCGACGACGACGACGACGACCGACGAAGGCAGTACGTTTGGGACCGTCAGTGAGGAGAGGATTTATTGCTATCTTTGGGATTTACCCCCTAAAGCTTCTTCTCGTCTCGTTCATCTCAAAAACCCAATTCCAAATCATGTCTGCATTCTCTCGAACCCCTACTCTTACTCCCAGCAGATCACCGTCCCCTCAGCCTCCAGTACAGCCGGACCACTTCTATGGAGCTCAGGACACGCAGCTGCCCCCTTCACCTGACTCGGATGGAAAGACCTGGCTCGACCCTGAAAGCGACCCACTGGCTCATCGTGGTATACCAGTGTTCAAGCCAACAATGGCCGAGTTTCAAGACTTTGAGGGTTACGTGTCGAAGATAGAGTGTTGGGGCTCAAGGAGTGGCATTGTGAAAGTCATTCCACCGAAGGAGTGGTCAGTTGCCTACTTTACTCGCTTACATATATTGACGATCACGGCATGATGTAGGACCAATGCACTCCCCTCTCTTCTACCACAGCTCCAAAATGTGAAGATTCAGACACCCATAGAGCAGCATATGCTCGGTAGCGGAGGTCTCTTCCGTCAAGAGAACATGGAGAAGCGGAAAGTCATGAGCGTTCGGGAATGGGTGGAACTCTGTGGCAAGGAAGAGTTCCGTGCTCCTGGGGTGCAGGACGTTGGCTTGCATGCTCGCAGTGCTAATTCAGGCGCAAAGGCATCTGCAAAACCCAAAGCGAGGAAAGGGAGAAAGAAAGAGGCGGTTAAAGCCGAGTCTGCCGGACCGGTGATGAACGACGTCGTGATCAAGGAAGAGCCTGTCGACGATTATCACCTACCCGCTGGCCCCAGCACTAAACATACCGTCGCATCACCTCCAAACAGTGATCGCGCCGCTCCCTCTCCGATAGCCACTGATGATGAGCCCAAGGCCAAAGCGAAGCCAAAGGCGAAGGGTGGCAGGCGTGCGCCCCAGACGCGAGAGACTCGTGAGGCGAATCTAGCCGAACGTGCGGCTCGTGATGGTGAATTTCTTGAAACTTTTGCACCCCACAAAGACTGGCTTCCAGCCAACACGAAGCCCAGTGACTATACCCGCGGCTTTTGCCAGAAGCTTGAGCGTCAATATTGGAGAAACTGTGGTCTGGGAAAACCAGCATGGTATGGCGCTGATACCCAAGGTTGGTGGTCACATGCCTTTTCGACAACAATTTCGCTAATATTCCTTCTAGGCTCGCTATACACCGATGCAACGACGGCTTGGAATGTCGGGCATCTGCCGTCAACCCTAACTCGCTTGTTACCATCTTCAGACCAGGGTCTTCCGGGCGTGAACACTCCGTATCTGTACTTTGGCATGTGGAGGGCTACTTTCGCCTGGCACGTTGAGGATATGGACTTGTTCAGTATCAATTACATCCATTTCGGTGCACCCAAGTTCTGGTATGCTATACCACAAGGCAGAGCAGGTGCTATGGAGCAAACTATGAGGGGTGAGTCGATCGACCAATACCAAATCGATTGTGCTAACGCTCTGTTAGGTTATTTCCCCAAAGATACATCCGCATGTCCCCAATTTCTTCGCCATAAATCCTTCCTTGCTTCCCCCACCCTCCTGGCGCAATCTTCATGCCGACCAAACTTTCTTGTACAACAAACTGGGGAATTCGTCATCACTTTCCCAAGGGGCTACCACGCCGGTTTCAACCTTGGTCTGAATTGTGCCGAGAGTGTAAATTTTGCGTTAGACAGCTGGCTTGAGCTAGGTCGACGGGCGAAGGCTTGCGAATGTATCAGCGATAGGTTTGCGCTAATCCTTCTTTCATATGATCGCGTCTGATCGGTTACACTTCTACCAGTGTTCGCATCGACGTTGATCAACTACTGCACGATAGAGCCGAAGAGGCAGCGGAATCTGCAAATCCACCTAGGTTCAATAAGCAAATGCGGTCGCCCAAGAAAGATGCAATTAAAAAAGAAGTCGTAAACGATGTAATCCCACCATTGAAGATATCTCGCAAACGCAAGTCGGAATCTAAGGACGAAGCTCCAAAATTGAAAAAACTCAAAATCAAGGCTTCTGCAACGAAAGCTGCTCCTTCGATTACGATCAAGGCCCCTGCACCAAAACTGTCTGTTACTTTGAAGTTGGGTCCAAGGCCTGCAGAGCTAGAGCCCTTTCCGTGCTGTTTATGTGTCTCGATGGACAAGGAGGGTTTGCTCAGGGTACAAGATCCTCCCATTGGAAGAAAGGAAGCCGTCGATGCTGCTACTAACCCCAAGGTCTGGATGGCGCACGACTACTGTGCCTCTATCATACCCGAGACCTGGGTTGACGAGATTGACGCTCCCGATGGGTCAAAGGAGCTTGTGGTATTCGGGGTTGACGGTATTGTGAAAGACCGATGGAATTTGGTATGTTTGTTGTCTATCACGTGAACGGGGTGTTGATTTTTGAATGACCAGAAATGTTCTTCATGCACTAAGAATCGTCCAAAGGCTCATGGCGCCCCTGTTCAATGTACAAAGGGGAAATGTCCCAAAGCTTTCCACGTCTCTTGCGCGAAGGATGGAGGTGAGAATGGAATTGTTTTCAATGTCGTTAGGGAGGTCGAAAAGGAGGTCGTTCTCCTCCGGCCTAACCCTGATGATATGCGCGTCGACTCATCTTCCGCTCCGAACGGTGCGGCTGTCGAATCGCAAGCGTCTGGTTCCCTCGTTCTGAAGATCATCAAGAAACTCGATGTGCAGATTCTTTGCACACAACATAACCCGGTACGTAAAGAAAACGTTTCAGTGCTATTCGCGATTAACACGGAGATTGTTGCATCGTAGGCTGTGGCTGCTCAGAAGAAAGCCAGCAAGCAAGATAAGATCAAGAACGATCTCTTGGCTCTCCCCAGCATGGCACGTATTAAGATTCGTGTTAGCGCTGGCGTGTTCGAGGTGTCTCTCATAAGAGTCATAGAGGAGGCGGGTTCCGTTGAGGTATTATGGGATCGAGGCATCAAGAGAGAGTTTAAGTGGGGAAGTGTCGTTTTCGGAAGCACGGATGGACCTGTGTTGCAAAAGCCATCCGAGGTTGCTCCTGGACCTGAGCGTAAGTTTTCGACCGGATGTTTTTAGTGGAGGCGATGTTAATTGATGGTTATTAGGCCCGTTGGTGGCAGCTACGAGCGGTCGATCTACCCCAGCTGGGACTTCATCTAGCCAAGGGGTGGGACAAACTAACCTTGGTAACCGCTACACTGCCGCGTCATCGCTTCCTTATGTTCCTCCACGTGCTGGCACCTATGATTACTGGACCTACTCTTCTCAACAAGCCCAGTATGCAGCGGCACAGTCTGCATATGGATATTCGTACAACGGCTATTACCCTACCCCAGTAGCAGGTGGATCTCAGGGCTACAACCCGTATAGCTATGCCCAAAACTACACACCGTCGCAGTATCGGGAAGCTCAGTTGAATTGGCAGCAACCCTATCAAGGCCCACAGGGCCATGCTGGCAGCTCTCAAACGCAAGACTGTTATCGCATGGGGGCGAGCCACCAGCAGATGACCCAGCCTCCGTCTTCAACGCGACCCCCCAGCAGCACTGTGCCTGGTCAACTTTCGACATTGAATCAAACCTCAGCCTCTTCCTCTTCCACTTCCGATCCACGACTTAATAACTTATCGCAGCAGCAGCAAGTATCAGCAGTTCCTTGCATCCACCAAGGCGCGCAACCAACAGTAGCGATGTCGACTGCGCCGCCCACGTCTGCACCCACAGTCGTTCCAACCTCAGTCACATCGCAGGAGGCGTCTGCGTACCAAGATCTCGCTGCATTGTCCTCTTTGCAACCTTCGCAGATTGCTGAAATCCTACGCAATAACCCACAACTGAGGGACATCGTCTGGGCTGCTGTTGATCAATCGAAAAGGAATAGCGCTGGTGTGGCGTAGCTGCTTGTCTCTTCATCAACTTTTACATTTTTATTGGACTACACTCCCCCTCTCCCCCACCCACGTCATGCATTTTTTATTCAATAGTGTTATTCTATCACCAAATAAAGCGGTATTCGTTGTATTGAGTCTTGACTTGCTCCTGAGTCAGGAGAAAATGTGACTGACGCGTGACACCGTACTTTCGTTGTCACACCGTTTACGCGCCTCCCACAGATTTACCGTTACGACGACCAGTATTCGGAATTTGTGAATAAAGGTAAGAGTTCAGTTCAATTTTGGGAAAATGTAAGCCACGGGCAAACCGTCACGATGACAGGCACAGACGTAGGAGGCTACGCACGTTATCCCGGAAACATACACGTCAAGATACACGTCGTAATAGTATCAAGAAAACACACGACGTCTAACTAGGAGAGACATTGTCTGGGCCTCACGCACCGTTGGTGGGATGTGGCTTATTACAGGTCCATTTGACGCGGAAGTCGTCGGAGAGTTGAACTTTCAAAGTGAGTTCATGTTCACCGTTTATCTTAGGAGCAGTCAGAAACTTGTGTTGCTAGAAACGAAACTTCTCAAGACCGACACGACGTATCCGGTTGGCAGGAAGGATAGGCCTCTAACATTGGCTAGCAAGAAGGTCTCGCATGACCATTGCGAATTTATTGTGGGTAATTTTACTGTGGATCAGGTCGTACGTCTTCGAAATCCCTCTTGTTTGTGTCATTGATCAAATTGTGAACGTGCGCAGGGGGAACCTACGTCGAGGCCAAGCCTTCATTTTAATAATAAGAAGGACAAAGGGATTAGGGTCAACCGCGGAGACCATCTAGTCATTGCCAATCCTTCATCCCCAGAGGAGCTGCAAGACGGTGATGTTGTATCGATCATCACCGGCCTCCAAGTCACGTACATCCACTTTTTATGGTATTTGATAACTTTCTGAAATTTCACCAGGGTGAAATGGGAGTCCGTATGTTGTTACGCCCCCAACCCACGGGGAAAGGCACCGGTGTCTCTGGAAGCTTGTGCATCTCTGGGTACGTTATTCTTTTGTCTTCCGGAGCGTCTGTGACCTCCTTCCTCCAGGTATACATCTTGTACAAACCCCTAATTCTCATGTCACCCACCACCTTACTCTCAATTACATTGCAAATGCGTTGACTGCTGCTTCTCTTGTATCGGCTTCTCAGTTTGTTAAGCCTGAGTGGTTGCATGAGGTCGTACGACTTGGTAACCTTCCAAAGAATAGCGACCCCTCGAGCGGCACGTCTCTTGAAGATATCTTCTCGCTTCCTCAAATCAGTAAATTCCGTCCCAACTTCTCCCCCTCCCTGCCACCATCACAAAAGATTTTCAAGGTCTGGGAACCAAACGAAGAGCGGCTTCACATGTTTCAGAGTTACCGCTTTATTTGTATTGGTGAAAAAGCGCGGGAGATTGAAAACGATATCAGGGGGCTCATCCATCGCGGTGGCGGTTCTCTGGAAACGTTTGACGTCCAGTCTGGCGTTGCCAAACTCCACAAGGCTTTAACGCGCAGCCAAGCTAAGGAAGGGAAGAAGACTGTTGTAGTTGGAGATGACGATGCCATGTCGACGGCTATTGGTATACCTGCTTGGAAGGCTCTAGTCGTCGAGGCAAAATCGTGAGTACTATATGGTCGATCTTCCCACTCTATCAGCTCTCATTTCGTTGTAGCTTCAACTCAGCCCCTATAGACCCGGAGCGGATAGTTCAGGCTGTTTTTGATGTGGATGCGACCGTTTTGGACAACGCCGACTCTATGGACGTCGACGACGGTTCGTGGTCTTTAATCCTCTGACGAATTCATGCTCATCTTGTGCTATAGAGCCCCGCTCCTCGCCTCTACCTGACGTCATCCCCAATACACTTCCGGAAGAACCCTCTCTCCAGCCCAGTCCGAAGACCCAAGCGCCTGTTCGCAGACTTACTCGCCGAGTGGTATCTCGAGAGCCCTCAGTGCAACCCCCCGCATCTCCTAAAACCCCGGAGCCGGAATCACAAGAGGAAGCATCCACTCGTCCGCGTCGAGTAAGCCCTTTAAAGCAACAAAGCAAGCCATTTCTAATCATCTCCCTCAGGCCCTCACCCGGCGCGTGAATGGTGGGAAGCCGTTGCTAACTGGCCTGGACGACCCCTCCTCCATCCTCGACGCAGTTCCGGACGTGCCAGCTAGAGTAACTCCTCCCCCAATGGTAGTCGACCTCACGGTATGAGTGAAATTCTTGACCTTGGGTTTTCTCTTATCTCAACACGATTCCTTTTAGGCACCGACCCCCGCTCGTTCTAGCAGGCTCAAACGCCGCGTTGGCGGTGCAGCCTCAGAAATCCAAAATACCCTCAATCCCGATACCTTCTCCTCTGGAATCGGAGAAACCATTGGCGAACCACCACTTAAAAGGTTCAAGGCGCTGTTCGAAGCAAGTAATCCAGACCAACAACCTGGAGCAGGTAGCTTCGATATGCTACAATCGTCTCAAAGTCAAACGCAGACACAAAGTCAGACACAGTCAAAGACGATCCGCTCTTCGCGGGGAGAGACCCATTCATCACTGGGCGTCTTACGAGAAGAGGAAGAGGAGAGTCAGTCCATCGAAGCGCCACATGCTGCAGCGCAACGGGGCACCAAGAGAGGTTTGGATTCTGTGGATGGTGAAGAAGAAATGGGTCACGCCGCCGCATCATCTCAGCCTGCCGCCAAGAAGATGGCGGTGGAGAATGTCAATGCAGTCGAGAAGGCGACAGCAGCGGCAGTCGGCCGTGCCCCCAGCAAGCCGCCTTCTACCGTCAAACCTTCGAAACAAACCAAAACGGGGGCACCAGCTGGAAAACCCGACACGGATGCTGCCTTCCTCAAAGCTATTGCTTCTACCAAACGCGGAAAAAAGACGGAAGATGCATTCGATCGCGAGTTCAACAATCTTAAGATATCTAAGCCTGACTTTGAGCACGAAGAGCAAGAAAAGGAATGGAATGTTTTGGCAGATTTTGGCGATGATTCAGGCATCAGAGGAAATTTCATGGTTGTGATGGAGATGGAGGTATTCCGAAAGGATGATGGAAGTCGTGCACGAAGCGGCCAGGCAGTGAACATTGACTGGGAGGCGAAGCCCAATTTCAAGAAATATAAAAAGGTGACACTGAGATCTTGACATGTTTCCTTTCAACCTTCTCACCTTCGACCCCTTCATAGAAATTCAACGTTGGCGCTGGTTCAAGAGTTGAGCTGATTCCAAGTGAAATAAACGACTACGGGATAGGACCTTGTACGTCCATTGTCAGTTAGTTTCCTTTGGGTCCTTTCCTAACTTGTCCCTCAGCATATTGGAAAGGTGGTAGCCAGACTCAAAATGGGTTTGACGCTAGTCAAATACCGACTCAACCTCCAAAACGAGTACCTCGCGCTATACAGGGCAAGACTAAGATCATGACGACCGCTCTTCCTCCTTCACCTTCTCCAGAAGTCAAGCTCGACTCGGATGAAGAGATACCGCCCCCTGCGCCGAAGGTGAAGACCAAACCACCTTCCAGAGCAGGGTCAGCTCTCCCACCTAAACGGGCATCGTCGCGGTCGAAGGAGCCTGCGAAAGCTAAAGCTCTTTTCCTGGACTCAGACGATGATATCAAGGAAGTGGTGGAGGAGGAATCCCATGTTATGGACCTTACCTTACAGGAGGACGATGAAGATCAAACCCTTCGTTCGAGTGCTGGAACGAAATCTTCGGCGCGGTCAGCACCGCCTTCTCAAAAAGCAACTCGACAACTCGCTCGAGGGAGGAAAGCCATGCCTGTCATTGTGGACGACGATTCCGACGACGGCGTTGTCTTCAAAGGTTTTAGAGGGAACAAGAAGCGGTAGTACTGGTTTGTTGGTATCCACTTGTATGGGCTGGAATTGCTTGGAATCGTACTGCTATCTCTCAATGTCGATGTTCCCTACGTTGGAGTTTTGCTACACGTAAAAGACTGAGGCGATGCTTTGGGCGCTTAAATAACGGTATTACCCTACGGTGACTCACTGTCTTGCAGTGCTCTAATAGTAACATCTTCCTCAACAGAAACGTCCATTATGCAGATACTTGCTGAAAATATCCCACAGGGAGCTAGTTATGTCAACAGGTGCGCTGCAGCTCGCTAAGTGGCCTACATTCAGTCCTGACAACATGCTTCAAACATGTAGTGATCTACCCGTCGTGCACATAAGTGAGTGCTAAACAGGCTTGATGTCCGCCTCGACTAGAAAGCTAACGACTCTCTACGATATTTCGACTTCCTTCCAATCAGTTCGTGACTTGCGAAATCTCCAGCTCACAGAAACCACACCAGCTCCATATCCGCAGCCAGCGCTAGCGACACTAGCATCCCAGCCATCTGTTCTCTCCTCTCTCACCTCGCGACCGGCCAACCGACCGATACCCTCGACGAGGCGGCCGTCATTTGCCCCATCACTCCTCACTTCGCGGCCAGCTAACCGACGAATTCCCTCTGAGTCGGCAGACGGCCCCTACCCATCACACATTCTTGAGACAGCATTGTACACCACTCAATCGTCTCTAGATAAGACACACTTCTACCCCCTCTGGCGGCAAGTATTAGCATATTGGTTCCCTGCCAGCGAGGGTTTCACGGTCATGGACGAATGGCAACCTCCAACTCATGACTCATCTGTCAGTGACGAAAATAGGATTCAAAAGATATCGATTGTTGTACTTCACAAGGGGAACCCAGTAGTTCTTCTGCTGCTGCAAGGCTGCCTCGACGCAGGGAATGATCACTCTCGCCAGCGCATGCGCGGCGTAGCAAGCGACACATTTGATCAGATTTCGCTTTGGTCGAGCCTCCCATTCCTTTGCGTTATTGCAGCTATGGGAACGAAGTGGAATGCGTTCTTGAGGCCAACCGATATGACCAGCGAACAGGCGAAGGAGATTCTGGGATATGATTGGTTTGGTGAATGGGAGGAGGATATCGTATCGGATGTATCCTATGAGGCTTTGGGGCATAATTTCAGGTCGATAAAGGTTGCTTGTGGGTAATTCCAGATATTGTCCGGGATTTGTGCTTATATCCCTCTAAAGTGTCCCAGGAGTTGGAAGGGTAGAGTGTTCCCGTATCTAGGTTGTATTTCGTCAATCATGTAAGTTTGTACGTTAAATCGAGGAGACCGGCCTTTGCGTTAATTTTGCGCACATTCAACGTTCGAATGATGGTCAACGTATAGACCACGATATTTTCCAAGAAGACGCTAGGCAACGAGAACTTGGAGATGTGTATCAAAGAACACGCCGCGGGCTCATGGCTCCGCAGAGTGGATGTGGAGTGGGTGTTGGCGCCCAAACTTTTGGCGGGTCGTTTAAAATAAATTTGCTCTTCTCGAATCAGTGATGAAAACAATGATAACATTTGACCCATTCGTTTAGAGGGATGATATTCCTGTATACGTACAGCGCACCATAGCTAGCGACCACTATCGAATCAGATAAACTTCTGGACAACTTCCTGAATGAAGCGAGCATGAGCAAAAAGATATCCATTGGTAAGGGCAAGAGCAAAGAGCTCTGAGAATTGCTGAAAAGTTCTGCGTTCGGGATTTGGTCGGAAAGAAGTCGGGAGTGGAGAAGTTACGGCTTCCCATAGCGATGGGGCATCATAATTTGATGCTTCTAGTAGCACCGTCTCTAAAGGACATTCGGCTCATGGTGGGTTCTCAGAAGAGTCAGAACCACCGCTGATGAGTCCCACCTCCTACAAAACCTTCTACGACTGTTGAGGGTTTTTGAAGAGGGGATCAAGTCGCAAGAACGCAAGGGTATGGCGGAGACCAACTTGACGGTGAGCAAGAGGAGACCAAGCGATCAAATAATACTCATAAACACTTTCAGATTTTGGACACCCAACTTGTTCAATTCACCTTGGTGGCATCCGCAACTCTACTTGTATGTGCATACCATCCCACTTATCACCCGAGTCATATCTGAAATGCCCAGATTTACGATTTGTTGTGTACCCTTGACCAAGAGGTGAGCGGAATTTTCCTTTGCAATCTTCGCTGTCAGACTCTTTGGTTTTGTAGGTGAAATACGTCTGGCAAACGCCCTGGTCGCCCGGAAAAGTTCTATTCTTCCTGAATCGCTACCTTCCTTTCATTGACACGTTTATTTCTCTCCACCGTAGGTCGATCTATCTGTTGTTCATAGGACTATCACTTAGCTTCTGTTTTTTTCCTGCAACAGTCAAGTTAGCGGTATCTTCACCAGAGGCAAGTCGTAACGCCGATATGGAGGTCCTCTTTGTATTGACGGACGCGACAATAGAAATGTCAGGCGCACTTCACGGTTGTTGCATGTTGGTGTTCTTCTTCGACATCGTTCAATTGACTGCTGACTCATAACCATGCTAGGGTTTATCGTCATTGGAATAATTATCTCTGAAAGTTAGGATTTTGCGTCTTGATCCTTTTCTCAGCTCAATCTTCTCATACTCCTTAGTCGTCCTTCTCCTTCGCACCTATGCTCTCTGGGAGCGTAAAAGGTCTATCCTCATCATCCTTTGTGTTTCAGGAGGAGTAAGCGCCCTTGCAACAATCCTTTCCTAATGACAACTTACGTTTGTCCTACTCGCAAGGTCACATATATTCCCGCCATCGTGATCACAAACCTAGAACTCCAATCACTGAAATGTCTGACCACTTTCATTTCTAATGCCCGTCTGAACTGAAATTTTTTTCAGATGTCCCTACGACTCGGCCAGGTTGTCAGGTTGGCGCAGCCAGCTCTATCATTATATTTGCTTACATCCTTCTCATGTTGTCGGAGACGGGTATGTGTTGCTCATGCTCCCTGCGAGCCTTACTCATCGTCTCAACAGTCATAGTTGTTTTAACGGTCATTAGAGCGCGAAAATATCGTGAGAGTGGGCTCTCTTCCTTTTTTCTCTATCTTAACCCAAGTAATTAAGTTCGGCATTCATCATCTCCCTGGGTTATCCAATTATACCAAGATGGTGCGGTCCGTTTTTGTTTCCTCTGAACGTGTTTGATAGACCTGTCGGCCACAGGAATGCTTTTCTATGCATACCTCTTATGTACGTATCTTCTATCATTTCTCATGTGCTGTTAATTAACTCGACTACAGCAATATCTATTGCTAATATCCTCGTCCCCATCCTCGCTCCGGTGCGTCAGGATATATTTTTTACAAGGAATGTCCCCCTGACCCTCCCTATAGAGAATCTTCGCAAACTGGCTTGCGACGTACGTATCTCACCCCACCTTCCACGGACGGAACTTACGCCTGTCCCTCCCACAGCCCACAGAGGGTATTGCACTCTGTCCTGTGCAACCGTGTTCTTCTCCTCATCCTTCGTCAACACTCCTCTGCAAACATGACAACGCGTAATCCCGTGCGTGGCGGTGAGGCCAATCAATCCGCCATCTTCACTTCCTTCGTCGACGATGAGGTCAGCACGAACCTGACGTTCAATACTCCTACCGTTGGTAGTACGGCCGTGTCCATGATATATGTGGCCACTTCGAGGAATATGCCGACATTATCGCAGTCTCTCCAAGTACAATCGCCTGATGCAAGCTACGTGGATGTCTAACTGGTACTTGGACGGTCGACCTTAGAATGTATGTATGTATCATTTAGACTCTGGTGTAGTCGTTCCACATGTATCCTATAGTATTTCTTGCTTGCACGAATGGTTGATGCACCTGGGAAAAGTAGATTCACGACATTATTTACAGTAATGGTGCCCAAGGAATGAAGATGTCCTGATCCTAGACTGTCAATTGTTACGTTACACATATCTATCCGCTGTCACTCTAGCCCCGCTCATCACCCTACATCGAGGTCCATGTCGCACAAGGTATATCAATTGGCGTCGTTTACGCCGAGTATTTACACAGGTAGCCGCTGTAACTCATCATGAATCGAGAACCCAAGTCTCCTTTGTGTTTTTGTGGCTTTTCTACCACCCGTTTGTCTGTGGTTCGTCCGTCAGATTCACTTCAAGTAGAGGGAGGTTGAAAGGGGCTTACCTCTGCTCTTGACAGACAAAACTCTCTGGGGCTCCCTCCCAATCTTCTAGCACGTACTTCCCAGCAATGCTCCGCACATCGTCATCCCCCTCTCCGAACAAGTCCCTCGCCAACTGTGTATGACTGACTCCAGCATACGTCGTCGGGCACCGAGGGTTAACAAGAATTCGTGCAGGTCTAAAAACTGAATTGGGTATCGAAAGCCGGCCCACCTCTGGCGGAGGCACGATCTCTCCGCCGTCCTCAACCGACATGGCATCGTAATCCGACCCAGCGTTTGCGTCTTCGTCTGCCTTGCCCTTCTTCCGCCGATCGGTAGCGTCATCGTTCACCTCCTCCTCTCCAGACCCAACCTGCACTTTCACTGCGTCTCGAGGTTTGAATGGGACCGCTGCTTCTGCGTCCCTCCTAGCTTTGAGAGCGCCGTCCATCATCGGGTCCCTCGCTGCCACCTCAATGACGTGGACGTCCCTCTTCCTCATGGGCGCTGCTCCATTGGCTAAATCAACTTCGTTCATTGCGTCTCTCGCGCTGCGAACCCATAGATCCCTGCAGAACCAAGCCTGGCTGCTGTCCAAGCACGGTGCGTCTGGATCCCGATTGCCTACATTCTCTGACCTTGAGAGGTTCTGGTAATCCGTCCCTGAGCGGTAGCTGACGCCTTTGTAATACGACTGTGACGGGTCGACGACGTGCGTTCCGGATTCGCAGCAGAATACTTGGAATGGGAGGTGCTGTCCGTAGCGGATGGCGCCTTGCTTGTCGCGGGGAGGTACGGCGTCTGGCTTGGAGGATGATTTTGATTGTCGGAATTGGTCACCTTCGATATCGCGTGTTCGCCAACTGTGTATATGCATATTAAATGATTGAGTGAGGCTGGCTTAAAAAGGCACGATGCGTACCGGTCTGAGAAGATGAAGAACCCGTTATGTTCTGCCCAGTCCATCCCGCAAACCATTGCAGCCTCGTTCGCAAAACTGATCTTGATAGTTTCGAGGATATCGTTGGGGCAGGTGAAGCCTTTCAGCCAGATGACGCGAGCGAATTTGATATTTCTCTTTAGTTGCAGTTCCTGCAATGGCTCCAAAGCGAGGTTTCTCATATGTGCTTCCTCAAGTGGGTAATATGCGGCAGAGGGGTCTCGTGTCATTCCTGGCACTCGTCTAATCCTGAAGGGTACGCCGAGGAGGGTGAGCACGGCTTCGCACAGGTCTGTGAGGGTTTCCGTTGAATCGTTGGAGTCGTAGTCGAGCATGGAGACGAAGAGGTTGTCGGTTCCGAGTCTTTTTGCCATTTGCACGATAACGGCGAGCTGGTCGACGAGGAAGTGATCGGCCGAGTGTATGACGATGGCGATGTAATAGAGATGGTTTTCGCGAATGAGGTCGTCGTAGGCACCTTCGCGTTTGTTCTGGCCAAAGGGACGTGTGAGTGTTGGACAGAGGGCGGCCACCCAGCCGTTGAGTGATAGGAGTTGGTCAATGGCGCTGAGGACGTGCTGAGCGTCTGTGGAGGCGGTATCCTTATTTATGATGCTGAGTTGAAATTAGGAGGGGGCGGTATGGTTTCGTGAAAGGTGGGAACATACTAAGGTAGTTGAAAACGCTCCCAGTAATCTCTGGCGCCGTCCTGGACAAGAGCCGAGAACATGTCATCGCGCTCGTCACGACCCATGCGAGACTGCAGAAAGGGATGGCGCTGGACATTCAAGGATTTGTCTGGTCGTGTCGCACGCTCGATGAAGTTGTGCTCTACGATTTGATGCGACTGTGATTTTGAGTGTGTTGGTGGAGGAGAGAGTAGCCAACGAAGGAAGAGCCCGAAGAATGTGATAAAGATGAGGCGTGATAATGTTCGACGACGGAATGTGAACATGGCTGGAGAAAGAAAGAAAAAAGAAAGAGCCTACGGTCGAGCTCGACGAGCACGAAGACGCTCACGACGTCAAGCAAAGCGGCGACGGTAGCGATAATGGCGTCCTCCAACAACAGCGAGCACAATTTTCTAAATTAGGCACAACATAGGCACCGCAATCCATTCGTCCATTTTGGGAAATGGTTCCTCTCGCCAGCGCAGTGCCCTCCACCTTCTCGGTCATCGAGTTCTTTTGGGCCTTGCCTATTGGCATGATGAGTGCAGCATTATTCATCCTGGTCATTTTCTAAATGTTCTGTCTCATCCTCGCCTGTAGAGATACAAACTGCTGATGGCTACATCACTTGGCCTCAGTGGCAAGTATACAACATAGTAGGCTGATGTCACGGTCATGGTCACGCCCTCTTCTTTGCGACACATTCAACGCGTCGCGTCGCGTCTTCATTTATCTATGTTTGCCATTGTTCCCCTTCTTGACTGTCTCTTCGCAGTCCTCTCTCTTTGTGCCTTCTTGCACGCCGTGTTTACTTGTCACCATTCCTTTCCTCCATTCATTCTCTTATGCATGTCTTCCTTAGGTATGCTCTCTTGTTATTCATTTAGTATATAGCTACTCTGTGTACTTCGTAGCTACTCGTCTAATCAACGCACATTCCTGCCTTTGCTCATTTCCACCCATGTGAACTTCTCTCGTCGTCTCAATCTAACCTTGCCCATAACAGTTTGATTAGACCAACACCGATTGTTCTCGTGTTTGCTCCCTGCTCGTCATCCTCTTCCTTTTTATCCTCACTGCCAACCATGGACGACATCCAGCAGATTCCACCTACGCCCTCTACCTCTACTTCTTCATCCGGCAACAACAACATCATACCCATGGAGATTGATTCCATCTGCCGGGGTCCCTTATCCGCTGAAGAAAAAGCTCGCCGCAAGAAAGAAGGTCCTTGCTTGTACTGTAGTCAGGTTAAGCACTTCACTGCTGACTGCTCTAACAACAAGAAAGCTTCCCCTTTGGGAAAAGCTTGAATGGTAGCTCCTTGAACAAGGTCCTTGGGCTACCGAAATCTGATGTTAGGACCCGTCCGCCCACTACAGTACTGCCCACCCACATCCGTCACTCCAACGGCAAGTGGTATCCCTGCTCCGATCTCCCCATTCCCTGCTACATCCTTGCCTCCTCCCCTGACTCTTCTGATCTCCATTGCCTTCGTTTCCCAAACCGCAAACCTATCCACACCACTGCTCTCATCGATTCCAGTGCCTCACAATTATGTATTTCTGAATGTTTCACCTCACGTCACTCTTTTCCTCGAAGCGCTAAGGAAACTCCCATTCCCATCCTCGCCGTCGACAACCGCCCAATCGCCTCTGGCCTCGTAACCCACGATATCATTGCTAACATCGACATCAAAGAACACTCTGAAACCTTCCTCCTCGCCGTCGTCTCAGTCCACTTCCCCATCATCCTAGGCCTTGATTGGCTTCACATTCATAACCCCGCAATTGACTGGACTGACCCCTGCATATCACTTTCTTGTTGTAATCTGAACCCTATACGGCCAGTGCGTATTCGGCTCAAAGGCTTCGGTCTTGTTGGAGCCACCCCCCTTGAAGCCCCTCGCGCTTATTCAGTTTCGTCCGTAGGACTAGGCCTCAGTCTTCGTCCTTGCCTTGCCTTGCCAAGTTTATCCCCTCAACGTCCAGTACGCATCTGGCCCAAAGGCTTCGGTCTTGTTGGTGCCACCCCCCTTGTAGCCCCTCGGGCTTATTCTGTTTCATCCGTTGGACTAGGCCTCGGTCTACGTCCTTGCCTTGCCTTGCCTTTGCCCTCTGCAGCAGCCACCCCACCAGCTTCTCCTCCTCTTTCAAAATCCTCATTCCTCAGTTTCTTGTCCAAGTCCAGCAACGGCTCTGGTCGTGACCCCCTCGCCAATCCTTTGACATCACCCCCTCCGAAAATATCCACCTGTTCACCAGCACATTTCACTAAATATGCCAAAAACCAGCATGTCAGAATACACAACTTCCACCCTGTAGGCTCTCCCATTTACATTGCAGCAACCTCTTCCTCCCTTGCCGATGATATCTCCAAACCCCCTCCTCTTCCTGACATTCCTGGCTTGCCGGACAAGTACAAGGCCTGGTCCAACACCGTCTTTTCCCCCACTCCTCGTTCCGCACACGATATCCAAGTATTCCTTGGGTTTTGCAACTTCTATTGCCGCTTTATCAACCACTATGCTTCCGTCGCGATCCCTGTCAACTGCCTCACACACAAAAACACCTTCATTTGGTCTTCTGACGCCAACTCTGCTTTCGAAAAGCTCAAAAACACCTTTCTCTCTTACCCCATCCTTCGTCACTATGATCCCTCCAAACCTGCCACCCTCTCTATCGATGCCTCTGACTTCGCCCTCTCTGGTATTCTCCAACAACCTGACCCCTCCGGCTCTCTTCGTCCAGTCGCCTATTTCTCACGCAAATTTTCCCCTGCAGAGATCAACTACGATATCCACAACAAGGAATTGCTCGTGATCATCGAGTCTTTCTGTGACATGTGTGCCTGGTTAATGGGTACAGCACAACCAATCTCTGTTAATTGCGACCACAAGAACCTTGAATATTTTATGACTTCTCGTACCCTCAACCGCTGTCAAGCCTGTTGGGCCATGTTCCTTTCAGATTTTGACTTCACGCTCTCCTGGGCTTCTGGCTCCCAAAACCCTGCTGATGGCCCCTCCCGTCGTCCTGACTTCATGCCTAAAAAGGGAGATAGCGTCTCTTTACAACAAAATCAAGCCATTCTTTCGTCATACCACACTCAGCACGTTATCCCTTCCGAAATCCCTCCTTCCCCCATCCTCATTGCCGCCACCTCATCACTCACCATTGACAATTCCGAGCTTCTCGACCGTTTTCGGCTCGCTTATCAAGAAGACACCACATGGCGCGAATCCCTCCTCCATGGAGACACCAGCTTCACCACCACCAATGACATGGTTTTCCATAACGGCCGCGTTTACGTCCCTCCCCCTCTTCGCCTCGACATCATGCACCAACACCACGACGCAGTCCTTGGAGGCCATCCAGGACATACCATCACTCTCAACAAGGTCCTTCGCAGTTACTCATGGCCTGGCCTCTACACCTTTGTCTGCCGCTACGTCGCAGCTTGTGATACTTGCAACTGCACGAAGATCCCTCGTCACAAGCCCTATGGACTCCTCAAGCCCCTCGACATCCCCAGCCGTCCTTGGAAATCAATTTCCATGGACTTCATCATTAAACTCCCCATCTCCCATGGATACGATTCCATCCTCGTAGTTTGCGACCGCCTCACACGTGCCACTCACTTCATCCCTTGCAATGAAACCATGACTGCCTCCAAACTCGCCTGGCTTTTCATCGATCGAATCTTCCGCTATCACGGTTTACCTGACTCCATCATCTCAGATTGAGGTTCCCTCTTCGTCTCCAACTTCTGGAAGCGTCTGACCACCCACCTTTCCATTGACCTTCGACACTCCACTGCTTACCACCCTCGCACCGACGGACTCACGGAACACACCAACCAAACATTAGAAACTTACATCTGTGCCTATTGTTCTTATCAACAGGATGACTGGGTCGACTATCTGCCGCTTTCCGAGTTCGTTTTCAATAGTGCCGAGAACACCTCAACCAAACAAACCCCCTTCTTTGCCAACATTGGCTTCCACCCAACGTTCACGCCTCAACTCGCCGATATCTCCACTGTCCCCGCCGCTGACGAACTCGCCCAACACCTCGACCGCATCCACTCAGAACTAAAAGCAGAACTTGAGCTTGCTCAGGAACGCCAACGCAAGTTATTCAACAAGAAAGTCCTCCCTTCCCCTGTCTACCAACCAGATCAACTGGTTTGGCTACTCCGTCGCAATGTCTGCACCACTCGACCCTCACTCAAGCTTGACCATCGCCGCCTTGGACCCTTCCCGATCATTCATGCTATCGGCAACGACACCTATCTCCTCAAACTCGCCTCTTATCTCTCCTGTCTTCACCCTGTATTTCACACCTCACTCCTCGAACCATATTCCGACCCATCTGAGTTTCACACTCACACAGAACCTGAGCCTTTCCAACTCGCCGAAAACCCCATAGAAACAATCTCTGATATTTCCGATGTACTCGACTGCCGCAAGACTGGTCATCGTTATGACTACCTGGTCTGCTGGAAGGATCTTTCCATGGACGACAACTCCTGGGTTCCTCTTCAGGAACTTCCCACATCATCAAATGAACTCCTCGAGTGCTTCCATCGTCGCAACCCTCGTGCTCCTCGCCCTCACTCTCTCATTCTCAATCAAATTGCCCTCTCTCCCTCCGATTTCGACTTTGATATTCCTCCCGACTCTGATTCCGTTCTGTCCCCCATATCCATTCCCAATTCCTCTGCTCACAAACGTCCAAAGTCGCCTCCTTTAACTCGTTCCAACTTACGTTCTATTTACACTCCTCCTTCTTCTACAACATTGTCTACTGGTCGCGAATCCTGTCCTCACCCTCGCTACTCCACCAATGTCTCCTCGTAAAAAGGGAGATAATGTCACAGTCATGGTCACGCCCTCTTCTTTGCGACACATTCAACGCGTCGCATCGCGTCTTCATTTATCTATGTTTGCCATTGTTCCCCTTCTTGACTGTCTCTTCGCAGTCCTCTCTCTTTGTGCCTTCTTGCACGCCGTGTTTACTTGTCACCATTCCTTTCCTCCATTCATTCTCTTATGCATGTCTTCCTTAGGTATGCTCTCTTGTTATTCATTTAGTATATAGCTACTCTGTGTACTTCGTAGCTACTCGTCTAATCAACGCACATTCCTGCCTTTGCTCATTTCCACCCGTGTGAACTTCTCTCGTCGTCTCAATCTAACCTTGCCCGTAACAGCTGACCCCTCTGTATTGGATGGATAAAACTCCTTTCACCATGAAACCCTGGTATTTCTAAATTGGTTGGGCAATGTTCCCTGGGTGTGGCATGCTGCTCTCTGCTGAAGCAGAGGTTTGGTGGTTTTGCAAATGCAACATGTCAGAAAAATGGTTTTGGCCTGTAGTTTGGCCATATTTACATGGTCTTTGTAGGCTCAGTAGGTCAACATAGGTTCACAATTACCTCTGTAGACCATAGTAGATACACAGTAGACTATCAAAAAAAATCTCACCTTATCAAAATTTTGGAATGATAATGATATGATATCACAATGAACAGACATATGAAGAAAGTTATGATCATGGTACAGTATATATTATACAAGCTGCCCAGGGCCACAATTTACATCAGCAAGATCACAATTTACTTCTCTGCTTTTAGCTGGTTTTCTGCTTGCCACAAGTGGAGAAGCCAAAAAGCTCAGAAGCTACACTACTGCACACTGAGAAATGACGAAAAACTATTGAAATACAAATGCATATTAACCTGCCATCTTCATCTTTCTCCTAGAGACCCCCCTCTGGTATATAAGGGCTACATAGGAAGCACCAATGGCAACAGCGATGACATGTGGTTGAGCAGATCAGATGTCAATTGAGCCTATGGTGAGCTTGGCCTGAGAAGCTAGCATTGGGGCCGCGAACACATTTCTGCATGAAGCGGCACCCATAGGCAGTGGCTTGCAGCAGAATATAGTTTGAGGTCGCCACACATGATGGAAAGGAAGATCAAACTGAGCACTGAGCACTTGCGCTGATGTGTCAGTCATTTCAGGCTCTGACTAAACAAGTGATCCATCATGCCACCAGCTTTCCCAATATCCACATCAACATCGATGTTCCATGTTCCATCCAGCGTCAATGCATCTCTTCATCGACTAACTTCAGATATATCATGTCTCCTGTGGTTGGAGCTTGCAGTTGAGCTAGCTGTCCAAGCCACTTATTAGCAGGACCAGGCACTTCCTTGATCGATGATCATTGCATATGGTAAGTACATTAATCTCATAACTCTCTGTTCTTTTCTAACCCCTTTCCACATCTTTTACCAGTGCACTGCGCTACATACCTTCATTACACCCCAGAAGGTGATCTATCCAACCAAAGCCCATCAAATCCTGACCTGTAACCAGCTGCGCAGCACACACTGCAGCTGCATCCCAGCTCCTGTCATTTGTTACTACTAATCTTTTCTTATAAACAGCCATTCCTGTCAACTTTGGGCCATATGATGGATTGAATAGAAAGTATTGGCAAGAGGTACTGTTAATCCCTCTCTCTCATTCATTCACATTACTAATCATTCTGTGCTATAGCTAAATCGTGCAAGGTAACTTGCTACATAGCTGAAAAAAGGACGTAGTATAGTAACACTTGAATTAGCTTGTTGGACTGACTTATATTATTACCATTTGATTTCTCTTTCGACATCTTTGACTTTTTCTCAGCTTTTCCAAAAACTGGACTGGGCTTTTAATCTTGCCACTTTTCGGCTTTTTTCTACTTGTAGCAGCTTGCACAAGCCAAAAAAAGTAAACTGTTAAACTGCTGATGTATTGCCATGGGTGTGAACCATTTTTGTAAAAGGTTGCTTTCCAGCACTGGTGGTACATATAGTGTAAACAGATGTGCTTTAAAAATGCTTGAATAGACTAACTGTTATGTTAGAATTGTTAGAATTGACCACCTATCTATGACATGAAATCTAAGCAACCAAAGTAACTCTACTTGATAAGCTGTGTAATGGATTTACTAAGTTATGCTTATGTGGGCCGATTTAACGGGATGTCCTGGATCCCTACCACTTTGGGAAGAAGCATGTGACCACGTGACCTGGCATGTCATGTCCTTCTCCCTCCTTTCCTCCTCCCCCACTGCTTTGTCCCACCACTTTGTCCGCTCCCGAAATTTCGCTTGTAGTACACCATTTTGTATTTATTACACTTGAAAATGCAATTTTTTTTCCCAGTACTGGCTTTCCCTGAGCAAACATGCAGCCCTTGTCCAAAATAGACCTCACGGCGCGTCCTTGATTGGGGCCTGTGTGCCATTGAATTCTCAGGAAAAATACAAAACTTGCAGAATGCCTCCAATGCACCTGCCGCTACATGATCACTGCTTTCTTGACTCTTTAGGGAGATATTCAGAATGTGTTTTGCTGCAAGGGAATGAAAATAAGTGAGAAAAGTGCACATAAGTTGGCATAAGTGCTTATGTGTGATGGATTTAACTTAAAACAAGTTCAATTTAGTGAATTTAAGCCCCCGTGATGCCAACCAGCTCAATTTATGGTGCACTTCCATGAGCTGGCATATCCCTGCACCTGATTTAAGGGTCTTTCGGCTCAGGGAGCCAGGGAGCCTTCAGCTATATCACATCGGCTGCAAGAATCTCCTTCCATTCCATCCTTTCCAATGTGAATTTATGCGACAATATTGTATATTGGGCAGGAGCATTTACATGAGTTTACAGAGTGGGGGAATTGGTATGGACTTCCTCTCATTCCTGAGTACTCCTACAGCAACTTCCAAACATGACCTTCCCAGGTCCCTCTGACAAGAGATTCGGGATGATGTTCAAGATTGAGTTGCGAGAGGAGGGCAAGGTGTAGGGATTATGTCGCAGGGGAATCTAAATCCCGCAGAAATCAAGTCAGTGAATGCACATGTCATTGAATTTTCATACTCACCTTGAGCTCCCCTGCTGCATAAGCCTTCTCTTGTGCTCCAGCTACCCCCCACTTCCCAGCAACTTCCCAGGCATGGCTTGTGGCATGTCGTTTCCGATTCTGGCGTGTTTTGTTTTGTGCTTCATAAATGACAACACACGAGTGTGGTGGTAGCCTCTTGAAGGCGAGAATGGGACAGGAGCCATGCTCAACGTGGTCCCACATTGGTTGTGTTGCCTAGAGGGGTCAGTTGCAGCAAAGACACAATGGGGAAGGATGGGGAGTGGTCATGGTGAGAGGCAAGATGTTGTTATCAAGGTAGAAGTGCCGAAAACAAGTGATTTCCCACAGGGATCAGAATCCGGTGATGGGCGCAATTTATCGAATTTAACATTCAGTACCTTAAATCAAGTGAAATAATTGTGCTTATGTAAGGGAGACTAGTATCAACCAGGGGGTTTATCAAATCTATGATGAAACTTCCTCCAGGGTTTTAAAGCACAGGTGATGTGAGTTCAACTACGGATGCTAGGTCAATGGAGGGGGGCAACATGGAGTGTGGCATTTGGTGAAAGTCCAGTCTAGTCTGGTTTTTTACAAGGGGTATGTAAAAAATTCGTTTAGTACACAACATTGTATTTTTCGTATAAGGTCAAATTTGACTGTCCCCCCCCTCCCCTCCCATCCTAATTAGGTATCTATTTCCATTTTAGGTGGGCCCTGAGTTCTATTTATATTGGTGTCCTTCAAAATGCAACAACAAAATCCATCCATCCCATGAGGTTCATGCCAGATAAATTCTGTCATAATCTCAGGTGTCATACCAAAGCCAATTATCTGGTTGAGAAATTGGTCAATATATTATATACTCCCATCACCATCCTCAACCTCAAAGTGCAGATGCACAGAATATTGGGTAAGACAATCATCAGCCATCCCTTCAGGCATTGAGATAGGTCGCGAATTTCTTGAGCTCAAGCAATGAACATGGGTGGCCCAGCCATGAGGCATTGGAGTTTTGTGCTATTGAAATGTTTGTGTCTCCACAGAAGCCAATTTTTACATTGACTTTGCATGTGTCACACAATAACAAGTACCCAATGCCATGGATTCACTGTTTAGAAGGTTTTCATAGTGAAAACATGAAGATGGACAAGTTAAACACCTTGTCCTCCTTCAAGTTATGTGAGAAAAGGGTAAAAAAAATGGTTGAAAAGTATTCTAATCATTGATGTTGGCCTTCCAAAGCTGTTGGACAGTATAAACAAAAAATTCATTTAAGGCTCGATTTCTCTCCCCCTCCCCCCCTACATCATGTCCCCTGGCAAATTCCAACATACCCCTTGGTTTTTTACCTTGAAACGAGGCAACTGGCAACCGCAACCGGTACAGACTGATCAAGATATAAAGGAACCGCAACTGGACCCTTTTAGACTGGTCCTAATCGGTCAGTAACGTGAAAAAAACTGGTCCAGACCAGTTGCGACTAGTCTTTTGCTGTAAAATCTATTGTGCCAGATACCCTAGATATTATCTTGCATACATTGCATTCATAGATAGATAATTTAATTCTCTGTAGACTGATCAAAAATTTAAGCAATTCCGTTAAGATTTGACTAAGATATGGTGAAAAGAGAAAGGGCATACATTCGAATTGCATGTATAAAAATGTTTTTTGCCATATCTCAACCAATTCTTGACTGTTTTTGATGATTGAGGGACTGAAAATTAAGTAAAAATGTGTGCAAGTAAGGTCCAACATGTGATGGGACGAAAGATTAGTTGCAACTGGTCTAAACCGGTCTTTTTCGGTTTTTAAATATTTACCAAAACATGGCAACTGGCAACTGGACTGACCACAAATGTGGGCAACTGCAACTGGAAAAAGACCGGACCGTGGTTCAGTCCAGTTCGGTCCTATGTATATTTTCAGTCCTGTAGACTGGACCTGTGAACACTATTGAGCATGAAGCCCTATCAACAGCAATAGGAGAATACGGCATTGTCAATCTTCATCTCTAATGAATCACGCAAGTTTGGAGGAACTGTCCTCAGAGGTTGGAACATGGGAACATCTGTCACATTCCACACCTCTGAGCTACTGATCATTAGTGTGACTAAGAGTCTTCACACCTTTGCCTGCTAGGGTTTCCTATGGCTCTCCCACTACCTGAGTGACTGCCACAGTGACTAGTGGTTCACAGTATTGGCTTAATCTATGTACAACATTATGCATCCACAGTTACATAGGGATTTTCAATTTTGACCAAGTAAGAAACTGATCTACCCAGGACAGTCTTCTGCCCTTGCCAATGAAGACATTTCATCTCTCAAAAAAATATTCTGCTGATCAAATGAACAATTCAAATTGTCACAGAATTTTCCAAAAATAATGTATTTCCATACTGCGCTACCCTCCATTGCAAAGGTAGCAACTGGGAAGAGCCTAAAAAGGAAAATTACATGTTCAATTACTTAACTGGCAAAAAAGTGAGAGTACTGACTTGCCTCCACAAGACATCAACCATTTCATAAACAGTTTTGTGAGGCATTTTCAGGAAGTGGGGGGAGTATCCAAACAAGCCTATGCTTATACAAAGTGAAACAGATTAAGATACTGAGACATTGTGAGCATAAGGGCAAAAAAGCAAAAATACAAACCGACTTCCTTTCATGAGTCTTCAACCATTTTCTGGAGTGCTTTCAGGGAATTTGGACTGGCCAAGACAACAATGAGTGCAGTTACGAGTCCTCTGAGTTTACGAAGAGACTCATTTATTACCCTTGATCTCAAGGAATTTTTCAGTAGTACTAACACTGAACTTTGCCTTTCTCCCATGAAAATTGATGGCTTCCCACATTCAGGGTTTCAGGGTTTCAGGGTCTCTAGCCATTTGTAGTCTTCTGCCATCATTTTTGTAGTTGACAGTACAAGGTTTTACTGACTGTGTGATTATGACTTCTCTGAGCTTACAAAGAAACTCATTTATTACCCTGGATCTCAAGCATTTTTTCAGTGCTGAGCTTTGCCTTTCCCCCACAAAAATTGATGACTTCACATGTTCAAGGTTTCAGGGTTTCAGGCACTCTAGCTATTTTTTGTCTTCTGTCATCGTTTTGGTAATGGATAGTATAAAATTTTACTGACTGTGTGAACTGTCTGGTGATGGTGTGGATTCTCATCGAACATGGTCATTACCAGTTAATGGCAGTTCATATATCTAGGAAACTCTATTGTTAATCAGTTTCATTGCATCATTTTTGTGCTCCAAGCTGCATGTATGCAGATATTCATTTCTCACAATATCATATTGTTCAAAATAAACCCCATTCTTGGAGTCAAACTATTTATATATATTGAAGTTAAACTCACATGACCACTTCAGTCACCCACCTTGAACAAGCTATTAGCCTTGAAACATATAGGTATATATCCAGGCTAATAGATTCTTTGGCCATTTATTTTTTTTGCCTCTGGAGGAAAATATATTATTGCACTTGTGTAAGAGGCCATTGCAAGCATGGCAGGAACGAGTCCTATTTTGCAAGAGTGGTAGTGACCCATTTCTGCTTTATTTTCGCTTTTTTTCTGGATTTGTAGCTATATTTTTTACAAACTAGTATATCTTTCTATTTGAGTGTCACTCTGGGCTTCAAGCAGAGTACCTCAGTATGATCACCATCAATGAAATGAGCAATATTTCTTATTTGGAAGTCTATTTAAACTTGACATCATCACTATTAATCAGCACCATCCTCAATTTTCTCTGATTTCTCTGCCATGTTATGACTATTTTTATTAGCTTACCATATTTGGATATCTACTTTAAACCCTAAACACATTATCTAATGATGATCCTACAACCAAAGAGTGCATACTGCAAGAAAAACCATGTCATTTGGACCAGAAGTGGCAGAGCTAGGTAGGGACTATTTACTAATTATTCAATATGTGCAAACAACTTTACCTCCTTGGTGGTAAAGTTGTTTGCATTCATTTTTGACTATGTCATGTCATGTAGATTGAAGTTTAGTATACAGAAACCAAAGTTGTCTGAGAGTACACATGTCATTTCGGACTATTTATTTGTATTTACCTACATTTAGCCTCATTTCAGAATGATCCTACAATTAAGGAGTGCATACTGCAAAAAAAACCATGTCATTTGGACCAGAAGTGGCAGAGCTACATGTAAATCTTCATTTTTGGTGCACCAAGATGGATTACTAATCATTCAACATGTGCAAACAATTTTACTGCACACGCAGTAAAACTGTTTGCATTTGTTTTAAACTATGTGATATCATGTGAATTCAAGATCAGTACACAGAAACCAATGTTTTCTGAGAATACACATATCATTTCAGACTATTTATTTATATTTACCTACATTTAGCCTCATTTCAGAATGATCCTACAATTAAGGAGTGCAGACTGCAAAAAAAACCATGTCATTTGGACCAGAAGTGGCAGAGCTATGTAGAAATCTTCAAGATAGATTACTAATCATTCAACATGTGCAAACAACTTTACCTCCTGCGCAGTAGGTCTGTTTGCATTTGTTTTTGACCATGTGATATCATCTGGATTCAAGTTCAGTATACAGAAACCAATCTGAGAGTACACATGTCATTTCAGACTATTTATTTGTGTTTACCTACATTAAAAGGAGGGATGTACATACAATGTCAGAAAGGAATTTGGACAATAACATCTTCGCATCATTAAGTTTTATGTATTCCTGTAAAGATGTATAAGATTAGTAACATACATATATGTCTGAGCAAATAATGCAGTGTGAAGTTCTATTCCTGATATATGAGCTTAGTAAAATAAGAAGAGGGAGAAGGTATACTTACAAGAGGATGGCCGTGACAAAAGTAGAGACGGCAGTGGGCATAAGCATCAACAGTGGTGGATGCAAAGGTACATTGGTGTTGTGCTGTTCGTTCACATCGTGAAATTCTATTTTGTAAGGACATACAAAGTTAGTAAGAGAAAACACAAGAGATGGATGAAATATACATACAATCAACACAGAAGTAAGATATGTACTTACGACACAAGAAACAAATGGAAGCAATTTGGACATTAACACGTTTGTGTCATTAAGTCCTACATGTTCCTGTAAAAACATATAAAGTTAGTAAAATAGGTAGTAGGCATTGAGTAAATAATGCCAAATTATGATGTGTGCCAAGGATCGTCTGAACCTGCACTGGGGTTCAGATGATCCTTGGTGTACATCATAATTTGGCATTGTTGCCCATCCAGATGTCTTTCAACTTGAACAAACAAATCCACCACACACACAGTGGATTGGTTTACATTTGTTTGAACCAGACGCTGTTGTCTCTCATTACCTTTGGTGTTCTGAGGTGGTGAGTTCCTCTTGTCATCTCCCCCCTTGCAGTTGAAGGTCTTTGGCAGTTGATGTGGATCAGCCCCAGCAGACGATGCATGATGACAATGACAATGCACAATGACAGAGAATGACAATGCACAACGACAGCGGATGACACTGCACAACGACAGCAAATGACAAGGGTCTGAACTTTTTGCAAGTAAGTTCCCAGTTGCCCCTACACATTCTCGAGTACCGCTGACTACCATTGATGCTCACACATCCTCTGGTAGATTTTTGATACTCTCAACCCACATTGTACCAAGGACCTATGTCCATCACCTGCTTGTCATAGCTGACATCCAGTGGCGTGAGGAACGGTGCAGGTAGAGCAGGGGCATTGGCACACTCGTTGTCATTATCCCATGTGGCGATCTGCCAAGTTCCTGTGAAGATTACGTGGGACTCAAGGGATGATGGGGCAAGTGTGCACACGCACTTTGTGGATAGCAGAAGGATGGATTTCAAGCTGATATCGACTATTTTGAGGAGGTGAGTTGTGCTTCCATTCTCATTTTTGAGAGAGCAGGATTAACGAATGGGTTTAGGGAGGGGCAAAGCTGTGCTATTTGTAGTTTTCACATCATTTTTGTAGTTGACAGTACAAGGTTTTACTGACCATGTGAACTGTTGGGTGATGGGGTGGATTCCCAGTTAACAGCAGTTCTTCTATGTTCATCAATTCTATTGCCTCATTTTTGTCCATTGTATGGTTGTCACATTATATATAGTTGAATGGACTAGTGCATATGGCAGCAGTCATTTGTAATTTTGTATAAGTGGTATCCAGTAAGTTGCAGCATTTCTTGTGAATACATTTATAGATGCTTTTCTCTTTTTGAGGACCAATTATGTAATGCATACTACTACAATGTATGTAATTATATTGCTTGCAGTTGTATATTATTTTTCCATTTCATTTGATGTAATTTGGAGTAGATATGACAGAGTTGCAGTATTTTCTTTCAGAATGGATAGGATCAATTCAGAAGCCATCTACAGAAATATGTGGGGGTTGCTCAGGTGAAATGATTGAGCATGTAGCCTATGCCACTTCAGTCACCCATTGACAACTGACTGTTAGTCTTGCAAACTCCATGAATACTACGGGACTAAATGTCAGGGTGTATATCTATATTGTATATATTCTGGGGCTTGTATATCTCCACTTTTACCTAAATATATTTTGTTGTCCAATGTCACACTAAATATATTTCTATTGTGTCACACACCCCAAAATATATTTCCTCACTGGAATGGACTCCAAATATATTTCTTATGCCTGGACCCTGAATTGTGACTGTCACAATGTAGAAATATATTTCTTGTCTGGGATGGACTTGGGATATATTTTGCAGCTAGGGTTGACTAAGGATATATTTTTTCACCCACAAGGGGTGTCTGGGGTCCTATATTTATTTAGCTATTATTTTGTAGGCAGAATACCCTCATTGGGATGTTTGTTGACAGATATTTACCAATAGCTTTGACCCATGTGTAGTATATGCATTGATGTGTGCACTATTTCCTAATTGGGAAAATCATTACACTTTTTTCTGCCACACCTGATGTCAGGCACAGTGCACATTTAGGTTGGGAACTGTTTCCCATGCTTTTTGGGCCAGAAGAATTAATGGCTAGCATGGTGTGGTCATTGTTAATGATGATGTGCGCACTATTTCCTAATTGGGCCATTTCCCAATTAAGAAAAGTGTTACACTTTTTTCTGACACACCTGATGTCAGGCACAGTGCGCATTTAGGTTGGGAACTGTTTCCCACGCTTTTTGGGCCAGAAGAGTTAATGGCTAGCATGGTGTGGTCATTGTGAATGACGATGTGTGCACTATTTCCTAATTGGGCCATTTCCTAATTAAGAAAAGTGTTACACTTTTTTCTGACACACCTGATGTCAGGCACAGTGCGCATTTAGGTTGGGAACTGTTTCCCATGCTTTTTGGGCCAGAAGAGTTAATGGCTAGCATGGTGTGGTCATTGTGAATGACGATGTGTGCACTATTTCCTAATTGGGCCATTTCCTAATTAAGAAAAGTGTTACACTTTTTTCTGACACACCTGATGTCAGGCACAGTGCGCATTTAGGTTGGGAACTGTTTCCCATGCTTTTTGGGCCAGAAGAGTTAATGGCTAGCAGGGTGTTGTCATTGTGAATGACAATGTGCTGCATATTTCCCAATTGGGAAAGTCATTACATAATATCAGTTTGGTTTGTAGTGTCCGGTTTTTTCATTACAAAATTGTATAGTGTCCGCTTTTTTCATTAGAAATTTGTGTAGTGTCCGCTTTTTTATTATAACACTTTGTAGTGTCCGCTTTATTCATTAGAAAATTGTGTAGTGTCCGCTTTTTTCATTAGAAAATTGTGTAGTGTCCACTTTATTCATTACAAAATTGTATAGTGTCCGCTTTTTTCATTAGAAATGTGTGCAATGTCCCCTTCTCTCATCACAAAGGTGTGTAGTGTCTGCTTTATTCATTGCAAAATTGTGTAGTGTCCGCTTTATTCATTACAAAATTGTGTAGTGTCCGCTTTTTTCTTACAACACTGTGTAGTGTCCGCTTTTTTTTATTAGAAAACTCTGTAGTATCCGCTTTTTTCATTACAAATGTGCGCAGTGTCCGCTTTTTTCATTAGAAAACTGTGCAGTGTCCGCTTTTTTTCATTAGAAAACTGTGCAGTGTCCACTTCTTGCATTATAAAGGTGTGTAGTGTCCGCTTTTTCATTAGAAGAATGTGTAGTGTCTGCTTTATTCAATCCAAAATTGTGCAGTGTCTGCCTTTTTCATTAGAAATCTGTGTAGTGTCCGCTTTTTTCATTACAAAATTGTGTAGTGTCCACTTTTTCATTACAAGTGTGTATGTAGTGTCTGCTTTTCTCATTAGAAAACTTTGTGGTCTGCCTTTCTGATATCTTGTCACTCCAGCAAAACAGCTCTTCATCATTTGGAATTCATACACCAGTTGTGTTTTGACTGAGCATTAAGTGTCCTAACTTTCTCCTTGAACAGCATCTGACAGTAGCCCCAACAGCTGGCAAATCAATCACTGAAAGGAGATCATGTTGAGGTTGGCTATGGTCAGACATAGATGGACAGAGATGAGTCCCCAGGGAGATGCAACGAATGTTGGACAACATGACTGAAGCTGGCCAAGGGGACAATTAGGACACTTGATGCTCAGTCAAAACACAATTTGTGTATGGATTCTAAGTGATGAAGAGGTCTTTGGCTGGAGTCAGTTTCTCTGAAACATTGAGCTATATCCCCAGGAAGCTACAAGATATCAGAAAGGCAAACCACAAAGTTTTGTAATGAAAGAAGTGAACACTGCACACATTTCTACTGAAAAAAGCGGACACTACACAATTTTGTAATGCATCAAGTGGACACTACAGAGTTTTCTAATGAAAAAAGCGGACACTACACAATTTTGTAATGAATAAAGCGGACACTACACAGTGTTGTAATAAAAAAGCGGACACTACACAATTTTGTGAAAAAAGCGGACACTACACACCTTTGTGATGAGAGAAGGGGACATTGCACACATTTCTAATGAAAAAAGCGGACACTATACAATTTTGTAATGAATAAAGTGGACACTACAAAGTGTTGTAATGAAAAAAGTGGACACTACACAATTTTCTAATGAATAAAGCGGACACTACGAAGTGTTATAATAAAAAAGCGGACACTACACAATTTTCTAATGAATAAAGCAGACACTACACATTCTTCTAATGAAAAAAGCGGACACTATACAATTTTGTAATGAAAAAACCGGACACTACAAACCAAACTGATATTATGTAATGACTTTCCCAATTGGGAAATATGCAGACATTGTCATTAACAATGACAACACCCTGCTAGCCATTAACTCTTCTGGCCCAAAAAGCATGGGAAACAGTTCCCAACCTAAATGTGCACTGTGCCTGACATCAGGTGTGTCTGAAAAAGTGTAATACTTTTCTTAATTAGGAAATGGCCCAATTAGGAAATAGTGCACACATCGTCATTCACAATGACCACACCATGCTAGCCATTAATTCTTCTGGCCCAAAAAGCGTGGGAAACAGTTCCCAACCTAAATGCGCACTGTGCCTGACATCGGGTGTGTCAGAAAAAAGTGTAACACTTTTCTTAATTAGGAAATGGCCCAATTAGGAAATAGTGCGCACATCATCATTAACAATGACCACACCATGCTAGCCATTAATTCTTCCGGCCCAAAAAGCATGGGAAACAGTTCCCAACCTAAATGCGCACTGTGCCTGACATCAGGTGTGGCAGAAAAAAGTGTAATGATTTTCCCAATTAGGAAATAGTGCACACATCAATGCATATACTACACATGGGTCAAAGCTATTGGTAAATATCTGTCAACAAACATCCCAATGAGGGTATTCTGCCTACAAAATAATAGCTAAATAAATATAGGACCCCAGACACCCCTTGTGGGTGAAAAAATATATCCTTAGTCAACCCTAGCTGCAAAATATATCCCAAGTCCATCCCAGACAAGAAATATATTTCTACATTGTGACAGTCACAATTCAGGGTCCAGGCATAAGAAATATATTTGGAGTCCATTCCAGTGAGGAAATATATTTTGGGGTGTGTGACACACTAGAAATATATTTAGTGTGACATTGGACAACAAAATATATTTAGGTAAAAGTGGAGATATACAAGCCCCAGAATATATACAATATAGATATACACCCTGACATTTAGTCCCGTAGTATTCATGGAGTTTGCAAGACTAACAGTCAGTTGTCAATGGGTGACTGAAGTGAAAATAGTTATAAAATGGCAGAAAAATCAGAGAAAATTAAGGATGGTGCTGATTATTAGTGATGATGTTGAGTAACAGTTTCAGGGTCTAAATGGACTTCCAAATAAGAAATATTGCTCATTGACAATACTGAGGTACTCTGCTTAAAGCCCAAGATGACAATCAAATAGAAAGATATACTAGTTTGTAATAAAATATAGCTAGAAATCCAGACATGGGTTACTATCACCCTTGCAAAATAGGACTCGTTCCTGCCATGCTTGCAATGGCCTCATACACAAGTTTTAGATATCACATGAGTTCAACTTCAATATGCATACCAAAGCTTACAAATATACTACAAACTTTGGTTTCAGACTATTTATGTGTATTTACCTACATTTATCCTAATTTCAGAATGATCCTACAAATAAAGAGTGCATACTGCAAAAGAAACTGT